TATTTTTGTTTTTGTGACAAATATTAAGACATTTCATAAAAATTAAGAATATGTCAAAATGACATTGACATTTCCAACCGGAAGTTGACTATAACTTCATTAATATTAAAGATAAATATGTCGTGTTTGTACTCATTTTAAAGGAGTTTTCACGACGATTACAAATATGTCAAAATTGAGGTTGACATTTTAAACCTGAAGTTAGTTGTCATGTAATAGACACTTTTCTTTTATTTTTAAACGTGTTTTTTATTATTATTATTATAACGCGGTCAAATTAATTAACACACTGTATAAAGTTTATTTCTATTGCATTCACTCGCGAAATCGCAACCTTTATTCAATATTGAACATTTAGCAAAACAAATTTTTTTAATTAGATCACCACCGCGTCGAAGACAAAGCGTTTCGCCTTATCGAAGAGGAACAAAACGAAAAACGCCGGATAAATCACCTCAAAGACAAGAAAAAGGTTCTTTCAGAACCCGCGATAGAAATAGATCACCACCAAGAAGTGCGAAATCGTCGGAACGAAACGCCGGGAGTTCACATTCCAAATCGGAGAGATCGCGAAGATCCAAATCACCATTACGATCGAGGGAAACTCGCCGAAGATCTCGATCGAGGGATCGATTTAAACGAAATTCCCCCCCGAGTTCAAGACGAAGCCGATCGCCGAGACGGTTAAGTAGAAATCGACACAGAGTTAGGAATCAAACTCCACCTCCAAGTCGATATTCCCCACATAAAGATCAAATCCCACCGATTGATTATGCGCATTTAGCTCATGTAATCAGTCAGATGTATGTAAGTATATTTAAAATTGTTTTAATTAATTAATATTATTAATAAACAATTTTTTTTTGTTTTTAGCCAAGACAACCTTTTATCCCACCACATATTGTACCTCCAGTTCCTGAATTTTACCCCCCATACGCGATTCCTCCAGGTCCAATTCCTCCAAGACCTAGATTTCCACCACGACCACCGATTATTTACAATAATAGATCGATAAAAATCTTTAAACCGAATGAAACATCAACTACAGCGTCAAGTACTGTTACAACAACCGTTACGACTGCTTCTTCATCTTCGAATGCGGCCCCTGCGTCTTCTACAGTTACTTCTAATGAAGAATCGTATTCGGAAACGCGAACGGATGAAATACCGAGCGGAACTGATAAATGATGTCGACGTGAGTTTAATTTAAAATTATTTTTTTCTTGAATTTTCGATTTTCGGGTCTAAAAAATAAATGAGTTAGTTAAGGAGGATTTTTTTTGTGGAAATACCTTTGATTTATTAAATTTTCCAAGATCCAGTCATCATTTCCTGTTATAATAATGTCCAAAATGTTATTATAATAAATATAAACAATATTATAACAAAGGTTAATTTAATATTATGACGATATTTTTTTGCAAAATGAATTTTGAAATGATCGACAATTTTTTCGAATGTTGCAATTTTCGCCGGTTAAGTTTTAAAAATTCGTATAAAATCGATTTCTTGAAATATGAGTATGAAAATTTCCCAAAATGTTTATGAAAGTGTCCTCTTTCCAATGAACCAACCCGTTTTGAAAAACAATTTTTAGTTTTTGAGAAAACAATATTGGTTTGACGTTTATAGGAAGTGAGGTTCATTAAAAAAATTGTTTTCTCCAAAACGATTAGGAACGAAGAAATGAAACTTTTTGAGGTTATAAAGGAACGTTTGAGGTTGGTTTATACCGAATTACAAGCTTCCAGGGTCATTGTTTCGTTTCACACAAACTTTTAAAAATCACTTATTTGATTTGACGTTTATAGGAAGTGAGGTTAATGAAAAAATTGTTTTCTCCAAAACTGTTAGGAACCAAGAAATGAAACTTTTTGAGGTTATAAAGGAACGTTTGAGGTTGGTTTATACCAAATTACAAGCTTCCAGGGTCATTGTTTCGTTTCACACAAACTTTTAAAAATCACCTAATTGATTTGACGTTTATAGGAAGTGAGGTTAATGAAAAAATTGTTTTCTCCAAAACGGTTGGGGACGAAGAAATGAAACTTTTTGAGGTTATAAAGTAACGTTTGAGGTTGGTTTATACCAAATTTCAAGCTTCCAGGGTCTTTGTTTCGTTTCACAGAAATTTTTAAAAATCCCCTTTTGGTTTGACGTTTATAGGAAGTGAGGTTAATGAAAAAATTGTTTTCTCCAAAACGATTAGGAACTAAGAAATGAAACTTTTTGAGGTTATAAAGGAACATTTGAGGTTAGTTTATACCAAATTACAAGCTTCCAGGGTTTTTGTTTCGTTTCACACAAACTTTTAAAAATCACCTATTTGATTTGACGTTTATAGGAAGTGAGGTTAATGAAAAAATTGTTTTTTAAGTTTTGTTTCAACATTTTTTTCCAACTCAACAATTATTATACATCATTTTAAAGAGAAAGCTTTGAGCTTTAATTTAAAATAAGTCTCATTCCTTAATTTCAATAAATACGGCTTCCAGAAATTTTTAAATTAGCATCTTTTTTGACACTTTTAGGTTATACGAAAATGTAAGTTTTGTTTCTACATTTTTTTTCTCAATATTTTTCCAATCCAACCCAACAATTATTATACATCATTTTAAAGAGAAAGCTTTGAGCTTTAATTTAAAATAAGTTTCATTCCTTAATTTCAATAAATACGGCTTCCAGGAATTTTTAAATTAGCATCTTTTTTGACACTTTTAGGTTATACGAAAATGTAAGTTTTGTTTCAACATTTTTTTTCTCAATATTTTTCCAATCCAACCCAACAATTATTATACATCATTTTAAAGAGAAAGCTTTGAGCTTTAATTTAAAATAAGTTTCATTCCTTAATTTCAATAAATACGGCTTCCAGGAATTTTTAAATTAGCATCTTTTTTGACACTTTTAGGTTATACGAAAATGTAAGTTTTGTTTCAACATTTTTTTTCTCAATATTTTTCCAATCCAACCCAACAATTATTATACATCATTTTAAAGAGAAAGCTTTGAGCTTTAATTTAAAATAAGTTTCATTCCTTAATTTCAATAAATACGGCTTCCAGGAATTTTTAAATTAGCATCTTTTTTGACACTTTTAGGTTATACGAAAATGTAAGTTTTGTTTCAACATTTTTTTTCTCAATATTTTTCCAATCCAACCCAACAATTATTATACATCATTTTAAAGAGAAAGCTTTGAGCTTTAATTTAAAATAAGTTTCATTCCTTAATTTCAATAAATACGGCTTCCAGGAATTTTTAAATTAGCATCTTTTTTGACACTTTTAGGTTATACGAAAATGTAAGTTTTGTTTCAACATTTTTTTTCTCAATATTTTTCCAATCCAACCCAACAATTATTATACATCATTTTAAAGAGAAAGCTTTGAGCTTTAATTTAAAATAAGTTTCATTCCTTAATTTCAATAAATACGGCTTCCAGGAATTTTTAAATTAGCATCTTTTTTGACACTTTTAGGTTATACGAAAATGTAAGTTTTGTTTCAACATTTTTTTTCTCAATATTTTTCCAATCCAACCCAACAATTATTATACATCATTTTAAAGAGAAAGCTTTGAGCTTTAATTTAAAATAAGTTTCATTCCTTAATTTCAATAAATACGGCTTCCAGGAATTTTTAAATTAGCATCTTTTTTGACACTTTTAGGTTATACGAAAATGTAAGTTTTGTTTCAACATTTTTTTTCTCAATATTTTTCCAATCCAACCCAACAATTATTATACATCATTTTAAAGAGAAAGCTTTGAGCTTTAATTTAAAATAAGTTTCATTCCTTAATTTCAATAAATACGGCTTCCAGGAATTTTTAAATTAGCATCTTTTTTGACACTTTTAGGTTATACGAAAATGTAAGTTTTGTTTCAACATTTTTTTTCTCAATATTTTTCCAATCCAACCCAACAATTATTATACATCATTTTAAAGAGAAAGCTTTGAGCTTTAATTTAGAACAAGTCTCATTCCTTAATTTCAATAAATACGGCTTCCAGGAATTTTTAAATTAGCATCTTTTTTAACACTTTTAGGTTATACGAAAATGTAAGTTTTTTTTCAATATTTATCTCCATATCAGGTACCCAATCGTTATCTTAATGAGTCACAGAGAAGCCCAAAATTACATAGCAAAAACATTTTGCAAAACAGAGTTCTCTTTGATGTTAATTGCTTTATAGGATTGTGCTGAATAATCTCATTGGAGACTTGGCGATAGAATTTGTGATAAAAATAAAACAAAAATTAATTAAAACATGTATCTATTGTTTACAAAAACACCTTTTCTTATTAAAAAAGTACTCCTCATTCCCAACTATTATCTTCAGCGAACGTTTTCGAAATAGTTCGTTTCCGGCTCGGTTTAACAATGGGCACCGGTTCGGACGTTATTAAAGAATCAACAAACGCATCTCCTTTTCCGGGCGAATCCATGTCCGAGTTTTGATTTCTATCGGATTCGTGTCGCTCCGAGATTTTCCTCCGTTTCGTCGCATGACCCTCGGGCCACTTACTCCGGGTTAAAGTCTCTTTATTCAACGAAGCAGCCCCCAATTGAATTTGTCGGCTATCGTAGGTCATTATCCTGTAGGTGTCGCTCTGTGACAATGTGTTAAGTACTATTGCCGCTTGATTGCGTTTCGCTAATCCTACATAAGCAGATCTATCGTTTATCCATGAAATATGTACAGATCCTAAACATTCAAGAAATTAATTTAAATTTTTGATAGTTTTTAAAGTTACCGAAAGGACTAAAAAGTTGTACTATATCATTTTGTTTCCATTCCTTGGGAAAAGTTAGATAAAAAACGTGATCTCGTGGGGGAATCGCTACAAAAAAAATTTAAATATATAAATTCCTTTTTTTTTAATTATCTTACGATCGTCTCCTCCTAAATGGATGTACGGAGTGTCTTGTAATCGCATTAAAAATAATTTATTAATATAAGGTGTTAAAAGTCGAAAATTTCCAAAATTTTGGTCGTAATCGAAATTTTCAATCGACCCCAAATGGCGCCACATCGCCAAAAACGCTACCCCGGTTATAAAAGCGTCATAACCAGCCTCATGTTCCCTTTTATCTTCCAAACTATAACCTTCACTTTCAACGTTTATTCGTGGCGTTTCAAAAGGATCTTTCGAAACCGTTTCTAAAAGGTGCCCCAAAACGTTTGATGTAATCAGCGATTTAAACGGGTCCATACAAGACATAAATTTTGTATCTAAAACTCTTTAGGCAAGATTAAATTGTTAATTAATTTGGTAAAATTCAAGAATTATCAAGTCGCTTAAAAATCGACTCAAATAAGGCGTTACAAATTAAAAAAAATGAGAAAAATTGCTTTAAAATTGGCAAAAGACCAATTATTGCTGTCCAAAAATTAAATACTGCTAGTAAATGACTAAAAAGTGTTTGAAATACCATTTCAAAAAGTTATTTACTGCCAACCAACATAAAAAGACCAAAATAACTGTTTTCAAAATAATACCTATTGCTTCCAGAAAGATAAACACACTTTCTGTTGTTAGATTGTGCTATATTTTTATTGAAAGTATTTTTTGGAACAGTTTCGACGCACGGCTAAAAAAAACTTTCACGTCAACTTTAATTTCATCGTTATATTCGTAATCTTTATTAAATCAGCTTTAAAATGAGCCCAAACATGACGCATTTATCTCGAAAAACAAAAAAGTTAGAATAAAAAATATTAAATCTGAAGTTGGCAACAATGAATGAATACTAATACCAACCTTAATTTTTGAGATTTTTTCTTGTATTTTCGTTTTTTATGAAAAATTATATTTATTTTGAGACATTTTGATAAAATTACGGATATGTCAAAATTGACGTTGACATTTCAAACCGGAAATTGGCCATAACTTCATTAATATTGAAATGAAATATGTCGTGTTGGTACTCATTTCAAAGGATTTTTAATGACGATTACAAATACGTCAAAATTGAGGTTGACATTTCAAAGTTGACAACTTCATGGTGTTAATGTCAACTTTAATGTTGATATATTCGTAATCCTTATTAAATAACCTTTAAAATGAGCCCAAACATGACGCATTTATCTCGAAAAACAAAAAAGTTAGAATAAAAAAATATTAAACCTGAAGTTGGCAATAATGAAGTTAGCAACATAATTTTTAAATACTAATACCAACCTTAATTTTTGGGATTTTTTCTTATATTTTCGTTTTTTATGAACAATTATATTTATTTTAAGACATTTTGATAAAATTACGGATATATCAAAATTGACGTTGATATTTCAAACCGAAAATTGGCCATAACTTCAGTAATATTGAAATGAAATATGTCGTGTTGGTACTCATTTCAAAGGATTTTTAATGACGATTACAAATACGTCAAAATTGAGGTTGACATTTTAAAGTTGACAACTTCATGGTGTTTATGTCAACTTTAATGTTGATATATTCGTAATCCTTATTAAATAACCTTTAAAATGAGCCCAAACATGACGCATTTATCTCAAAAAACAAAAAAGTTGGAATAAAAAATATTAAACCTGAAGTTGGCAACAATGAAGTTAGCTACATAATTTTTAAATACTAATACCAACCTTAATTTTGAGATTTTTTCTTGTATTTTCGTTTTTTATGAAAAATCATATTTATTTAAGAAATTTTGATAAAATGACGGATATGTCAAAATTGACGTTGACATTTCAAACCGGAAATTGGCCATAACTTCATTAATATTGAAATGAAATATGTCGTGTTGGTACTCATTTCAAAGGATTTTTAATGACGATTACAAATACGTCAAAATTGAGGTTGACATTTTAAAGTTGACAACTTCATGGTGTTAATGTCAACTTTAATCTTGATATATTCGTAATCCTCATTAAATAATCTTTCGAATGAGACCAAACGTCAATTAATTTATCTTAAAAAACAAAAAAGGTTGTATAAAAAATATTATACCTGAAGTTAGCAACATAATTTTTAAATATTAATACCAACTTTAATATTTAAGTTTTTTTTTATATATTTTTCGTTTTTTGTGATAAATTTTAAGACATTTTAATAAAAATTAAGAATATATCAAAATGACATTGACATTTAAAACCGGAAGTTGCTTATATCTCGAGTAATATTGAAGTTAAACATATCATGTTTGGACTCATTTTAAAGGATTTTTAATGAAGATTACAAATATGTCAAAATTGACATTCTTAACCGGAAGTTGACCATAACTTCATTAATATCAAAGATAAATATGTCGTGTTTGTACTCATTTTAAAGGATTTTTAATGAAGATTATTATTAATATAATTAATTTTTTAACGTATTTTTTTGGATTGATTTAAAAAATCGTCGATTTTTAAGCAACATGATTCATTAATTTTTTAAAATATAAATTACTGCGAAAAAAGCATATGGGCGCAATCCTTAAATTCGTTGTAATCCTCAGGAAGGGGAATTAAAAATTTATCTATGGTGTGTAAAAGATCCAAGCACATGTTATGTCCAATAACCAACTTTCCTGATTGAGTGATACATTGAATAACTTTTGAAAACCCAATTGTGCCATCTAACTCATTTTCCTCTTCCTGGACGGTCCTTTTTTCTTCATCCAACCGGTCTTGTATCCCTTTAAACTTTGTAACCACCAAGACTTTATCGCGATCGCGACTTTTAACGTTAACTTTATCATCAAAATCGTGCTTAATTAATTGGAAAACCAAAAATTGTAAAAATCCGTTACATTTTGGTAAAACTAATTCTTCATCTTTCGATTTAATAAAGTCTTTAATTGACTTGGTTATGTTTTCAATAAAAATTTTATCTTGTTCTTTCGAAGAAACAACGCGACTTTCGTTCAAATTGTTTGAAGATGCTTGAGTTGCGCGAACTTTTTGTACTTCTTTCAAAGAATCGCGGTATTTCGCTTCTTGGTGTTCGTTTAAATAAGGAATACCGTCCCTAAATAACTTATTAAAATCGAAATTTTGAGTTATTAAGAAATCTATGCTCGAAGCTTGGCACAAAAATCGTTGATCGGGGACGTGTTTTGGTACGGCTTTTGGAAAAATATAGAAATTAAATGCTTGGTGTTTAAACGATTTCGATTTTTCGTCATATCTACGGAATTAAAATCAAATTATTTAAGAAATAAGTAATAATTTGAAGAGATAACCTAAAAGTACAAATTCCGTATTGAATAACGAGGAAATCTTTACATCCTTTTCTAACTTTTTCATAATACGATTTTTGTGTATCATAACTGTTAACGTCGTTGGTGGTGCTTAATCCGGTTAATTCGCAATCGATGGTTAAAAAGGTTGATTTGTCCACGGATTCTTTAATTTTTGGGAGAACTTCTTCAAAATCTAAAAATAAATTTTAATTGATACGAATTAAAACAAGATTGTACTTACTTGTTTTAGTAACTTCCATATTTTTGCGGTATTTTTGAACGGTTTTCTTTAAAATAACATCAACAACCACAAAACGTGAACTTTATAGGTTATGTTACGGCTTTTTTTTTGTAGTCGAATTTTTATGTTCGTGTTTTCTTCATTTGGATTTAGAGACGATTTTTTTATGAATAATTAACGGCTAATTAATTAATCGATTTAAACTCAACGGGTTCATTATTTTTTTAAAACGTTTTTTTTACACTTCGGTTTTTTAGGTTTACATCGTGCTGCCATCTAACGGAATTTTTAAATTTTTTTGGCGTTGACAACATTTTTTTAGGTTACTTCTTTTTTTATTTATTTATCTCAATGTGGTACAATAACATTGTACAACAAACAACCAGTTGTATACAAATTAAATTATAGATCACAATAACAATAATGAGTTAAGTTTAGGTGATATAAATATCATATCTCAAATGAGCGCCCAAGGCAACACATCAACTGCAACAAAGAGCAATTTTTTAAATGTATAGAAAGAAAGCTGATAATGAAACACTATCATGTAAGTGCATTTTCAAAATTAACATTTAATAAAGTATCTTACAAAATGTTCTCCGACGTTTGTATAAATTAACATTCGTACAGATTTCTATTTTATCAACATATTTTACAGATCCCTGTACTCGATAATTGTCAAAAGTCAAAACGGTAAATCGATTAAACGATTTCGATTTTTCGTCATATCTGCTATTATTAACAAAATAACGTAATAATTTGAAGAGTTAACCTAAAAGTGCAAATTCCCTATTGAATAAGGAGGAAATCATTACATCCTTTTCGAACTTTTGAGTATCATAACTGTTAAGGTCGTCGAATTAGATGTTAACATTGATATGAAAGAGAAGAACTTATTTAATTGTAAGTAATTACTTTAATTTTACTAAACTTTTAATTCATTTAATTAAATTTGATTAATTAATTTTAAAACATAACCTAAAATAATTGCCCAAGGAGCCCAAAACAAACATCGCCATTTTGGCTCGCAAGTGAAGCGGGAAATTTAAAACTATGTCGTTCTATTGATAACATTACGCCAAAACTCCATTTTCTTTCATTTTATTTTGATCACCCGGTATAATTTTTTAATTAGCAGAGAAACAAACTATCTCAAAATAAATTTTAATTGACCTTTGCGACATTTCTTATTCATTAGTTGAACTAATAGTAATTAGTTAAGTTGCGAACCATGATTAAAACGAATTTAAAGCGCATTTTTTTGAAAATTTAATTTCTTAAATATTGGTTAATTCGTATTATTATATTATTTGTTATCAAACGAAGAAATAAAAATCGCATTTTGTTCAACAATTTTATTAATATAAATTAGCATTTGTACAGATTTATATTTTACCAACACATTTTACAGTTCCCTGTAATCGATAATTGTCAAAACGGTAAATATAAAACTAAAATAATAAATTTAACGATGTTAAGACGTCCGATGACCGAAATTGAATTAAACCCCGATGATATTTCGGAGTACGAAAGCGTAAGAAGAGAAGTTGAAAGCGCCAAGGATAAGAATAAAAGTAAAACTTTGAAAGAATGTGATCTCCCTAACCTTAACGTGGTGCCGAAAACTTACAAAGAAATTAACGCGAGAATTGGATATAACGTTCCTAAAAAATAAGTTAATTATGTAATAATAATAATGTAAAATAATTATTATTAATAACAAAAAAAAAATTAACCTCACTTTTATGAACCTAACCTCACTTTAATCGGCGTCAATACACCGGATTACAACCGGCTTTAAACGTTTTTCTCTTAACCAAAGTAAGTATAAATTATTAATTTAACTAAAAAATGAATAATCAAATTAATTTTTAGGTTAATCATGAAATCAATCCTAATTTTTCATCCAAACACTTTCAAAGCAAACCAAATCGGCCTTTTAGAAGGTGTTACCATTAATTCGGGTGATAGTTTAATATTTTTCATCACAAATCCGGATGTTGTTATTTCTGGAAATCAAACTATCGGGTATTGCAGTTATAACACTCCAAATGAATCGAAAATGGATAAATCGGAATTGCTGCACTTAAATATTTCCACCAAAGAATACAGTATTTTTAACGTTAATTTCGAGGAGTACGACGAAAATTATTTATGTATTAATTACGATTTAAACAAATTGAGTCAATGTGATGGAGCTACATTTAAATCATTAAAGTATGGAGAATTAATTAATAATTTACATGAGATTGTTTATGATAAAAAAAGTGATTATAAAAGGGGTAAGAAAGGATTTTTGGAGGTATTTTTTGGTTCTTTTATTATGTTTTTGTGTTATTTATTAAAGGTAAGATTTATTCTGTAAGATTTTTCGATATTATTTCAAATTTTGACAGTTTCTAGCAAAAATTGAAGATTTAACTAAATATTGCACAACAATAACTCATCTAAAGGAAAGTTTGAGTACATTAAAAGATGTTTTGGAGGAGATTTTTGTAAAAAAACGTGAAATCTCACTAAAAATAATCAACACTTTATTATCAAAGTTAATCGATTTCATTTGTGGTTATGTTTTGTTGTATATCTTTTTTAAGTATGAACATTTAATATTTCAAAATTTAAACACAACAATTGAGGTGATTATTTTAATTAATTTTGTGATTAAACTTGATTTTTTTTTCTTTGTTGCAGTTAATTATTGAAAATTTAAAAACGCTTTTATTGTTTCTTCGAGGATCTCCAATAGGATTAAAACTCAATCATAATTTCAATACGACGCTAAACTCGTTTTTCTTTTATCACATATTTTTATGGAAAACTTTTGTGGAGTTTATTAAACCCCATTTGTACTCCATTTTTTATGTGTTGTTGATACCAGCTGGTTTTGGAGTTAGTTATCAAGCAGCTGTCATTGATGATTTAATTAAATTTTGTACTATTCATGTTTATTGCATTTATAATTATGCAGCAAGGTAAGAAATTATAATTTCAACTAAAACTATAACTAACACTACATCTAGGAACTTTTCTTGTGATTATTTGGTAATAATTTGTGGCTCTGGTCTTATTGAAATCTACATTGCGTTCCTTTCTTGGTTTGTGACACTTTTTGTTTGTTGTGGATTTTGTCCCTTTCCCATTAAAATCGTTTTTTGCAACAATTTTATTAATATAAATTAGCATTTGTACAGTTTTCTATTGTACCGACATATTTTACAGTTTTCTGTAATCGGTGATTGTCAAAACAGCAAATGCAAACATAAAATAATAAATTTAACAACGTTAAGACGTTCGATGATCGAAATTGTATTTTATTAACGATAAACAAAGAAATTTGAAGCCGAGGTCGCTTGCGACCGAGGCAGTAGATGAAGTATGCAATATTTCAATTTTCCTGCCTTATCATTGGCGAACGAAAAAGTTTGAAGCCGAGGTCGCTTGCGGCCGAGGCAGTAGAGTAGGTAAACAACTTACAAGTTTTTCTGCTTTATTACCGACGAACAAAGAAATTTGAAGCCGAGGTCGCTTGCGGCTGAGGCAGTAGATTAAGTATGCAACATTTCAATTTTTCTGCCTTATCGTTAGCGAACGAAAAAGTTTGAAGCCGAGGTCGCTTGCGGCCGAGGCAGTAGAGTAGGTAAACAACTTACAAGTTTTTCTGCTTTATTACCAACGAACAAAGAAATTTGAAGCCGAGGTCGCTTGCGGCTGAGGCAGTAGATTAAGTATATAACATTTAAGTTTTTCTGCCTTATCATTGACGAACGAGGAAGTTTGAAGCCGAGGTCGCTTGCGGCCGAGGCAAAAGCGTATGTAAACAACTTATAAGTTTTTCTGCTTTATTACCGACGAACAAAGAAATTTGAAGCCGAGGTCGCTTGCGGCCGAGGCATTAGATTAAAAATGCATCATTTAATTTTTTTGTTTTATTAACAATTAACAAAGAAATTTGAAAGCCGAGGTTGCTTGCAGCTGAGGCAATAGATTCACCGTTTGGGTCTTTTCATACTTATTTAACAAAAGTGCGGATACCGCAAGAGACAAAAGCAAATTAAATGACTTAAACGTTGCATACTTGATATACTGCCTCGGCCGCAAACATTTTCGGCTTGAAACTTGTTTGCTCGTCATTGATACACCAGAAATGAATTAAATGTTGTATACTTAATCTTCTATCGCAGCCGCAAGCAACCTCGGTTTCAAACTTTTGTTCCTCATTCATACACCAGAAATGACTTAAATGTTGTATACTTGATCTACTGCCTCGGCCGCAAGCGACCTCGGCTTCAAACTTGTTTGCTCGTCATTGATACACCAGAAATGACTTAAATATTGCATACTTAATCTACTGCCTCGGCCGCAAACGATCTCGGCTTCAAACTTGTTTGCTCATCATTAATACACCAGAAATGACTTAAATGTTACATATTTAATCTACTGCCTCGGTCTTCAAACTTTTGTTCGTCATTGATAAAGTAGAAAAAGTTTAAATGTTACATCTAAATCTACTGCCTCGGCTTCAAACTTATTTGCTCATCATTGATATCCCAGAAATAACTTAATTGTTATTACTTAATCTTCATATTAATAGTTAGATAACTAACTTCAGGTTTCATGAAGTTGTCAACTTTGAAATGTCAACCTCAATTTGGATATATTTGTAATCTTCATTAAAAATCCTTTAAAATGAGTACAAACACGACATATTTATCTTCAATATTAACGAAGTTATGGTCAACTTCCGGTTAAGAATGTCAACGTCAATTTTGACATATTTGTAATCGTCGTGAAAAATCCTTTAAAACGAGTCCAAACATGATACGTTTAATTCCAATATTACTCGAGATATAAGCAACTTCCGGTTTGAAATGTCAATGTCATTTTGACATATTCTTAATTTTTATAAAATGTCTTAATATTTGTCACAAAAACAAAAATATAAAAAAAAAAAATCAAAAATTAAGGTTGGTATTAATATTTAAAAATTAAATTGCTATCTTCATTGTTGCTAACTTCGGGTTTAATGTTTTTTATTCTAACTTTTTTGTTTTTTGAGATAAGTGCGTCATGTTTGGACTCATTTTAAAGGTTTTTTAATGAAGATGACAAATATGTCAAAATTGACGTTGACGTTTCAAACCGGAAGTGATTGTATTTCCATTAATATTAAAGTTAAATACGTCGAGTTTGGACTCATTTTAAAGGATTTTTTATGAAGATGACGAATATGTCAAAATTAAAAGTTGGAATTTTTTGGGATAAATGCGAGAAATCAACAATCATATTGTGTCAAATCAATCTCACCATCTTTTCACTCCCAGCCTCCAAACCATCCAAGTCTAGTCTTTCTTATTTCAATTTTAAGACGTTTCACTAGACGCAAAAGTGTTCTATACATGCAGTAATCGTGACTTATTATTATTTATTAAAAAATTTTGTCTTTTAGATTATATGGAGTACAAATTTATGCGTTAATATCATTATGGCGCCTCTTCATTGGAAGGAAATTTAATCCTTTAAGGAACCGCGTCGATTCTTACCAATACAATCATAACCAATTATTTATAGGAACTTTAACGTTCACCATATTATTGTTTTTGTTACCCACTACTTTGTTATATTACGTCGTATTTACAACGGTGAGTTAATTTCAGTTGTAATTAATTAATCGGAGATAATCTTTTTAATTTTTCAGTTTCGATTGTTCCTGAAAGTTTTGAATTATTTATTGAGTTCGATTAGAATTTTATTACAACACCTCCCGATTTATTCTTTGATTTTGTGGGGTATTCGATCGCCGAAGATTGCAGGTTAAATTAATTAATTAAATCACTTAGATCAATTAATTAAGAGAAAATTCTTTTTTAGGTTTAATCATACTAAAATCGTCTAAAAATAATTCTAACCTCAATTTGGAATTAAAATCGTTACCTTTAATAAATTGTTTAACCAATACGATTCCCACAACGAAATTCGTCGCACCAAAAATTAATTTTAAGGATGGATTGAATAAGATTGTTGGTGGAAAATTGTTGTGAATAAAACTTCTTGGTCTATTTTTTTTCTTGAACATATCTTGATTCTTTTTTTGTGGTTTTTATTCATTTTTTAAAGTATTTATTGATAACATTAGTTCCCTTATACAATTACATTGACTGTGAACCAGAATGTATTTAGTAATAGGCGTTCAAAGATCAAATAAAATCGATCTTAAACAAAAAAAAAATTGACTAGAACATATCGGGAATGCATCTTTTCATTAATCATATCGAATACATTTACAAAAAAAATGTTCTCCATTAACTTAAAAACAAGAACATTTTTTTATTTTAATATGTACAAGTGTTGCAACAAATTCCTTTTTAATAATCATAATTTTTTAATTCGGGGTTTAAGAAATGAACCCCGCCACAAAATACGATATAACTTTATCCCTTAATTATCTTCCTAACGTTTCGAAAAATACTGATTTAAAAATAAAAACATTTCCGTGATGAAATAAATTAATTAAATCGAGGAACGTGAAATTAACCGACGAGATCATAAACACGATTAATTAACGAATGAATTAATTAAAAATGTTTTCTTTTTTTAACAAGCGAACCCCCTCTCCTGCAGGATTAACTAAAACACCGACTCTGCCGATCGTGAAAGATGAACCGGATGAGATGGGCTCCGCGCCAAGCGCTTTTTCGGCAGCCGATCGAGGATTTCAAAGAGTTTATTAAAGTTGGGGCGGTCTTTTACCAAAAACGACCAACACAGCATTAAAATATCCTGCGTTTTTTTAGTATTAATCAATTAATAAATAAAAAGAATTAATTAACCTACCTTTACGTCTCTTGAAGCTTGGAGATTAGCTAAAGATTGTTTCATCCCTTTCCCAACCTGCCAAATAATCGTTTCTGGGGGTTGATCTTTAAAGGGCCATTCCCCACAAAGTAATTCATACCAAACCGTTCTAAACGAAATTGTTTGATGATATAGTTAAAAAAAATTGTTAGTGGTTTTTTACCCGAATGCATAAACATCTGAGGCGTTGCTAAATGGTAAATCTTCGTTATGGGCTTGATCGGCGTGCAAACTGCGGATTAATTCGGGGGCTAAGTAACAAAGCCAACCTGGGGGGATCCCCAAAGAGTCTCCTTTTCTAAAATTTGAGCTCAATTTTTGTTTGTAATTTATTTTTTATGTTCTAACCTGTCTCCGTGGCATAATTTAGTGACGCTGAAAAGTCCAAAATCTGTTATAACAACTTTACCATTTTCCAAGAAAATGTTTTTTGTTTTCAAATCTTTGTGGAGGATTCCTTTAGCGTGTAAATATCCCATTCCCTACAACACCAAAACGATTAAATTCAATTTAAAGTTGTATAAGAATATCTTAGAAATGTCGTCAAGAAATAATGAGTACAAAAAAACGCAATAAAAACATCAAAATTTCTATTTTTATTACGTTGGGTTGGTAATGCTGATTGATGATTTATTCAATGCGTCTTATGAGTCAATTCTAAACATTTTTTGTTTAAAAAATAATTCTCCATCATGCTCAATTAATAAGTTACAACCAAAAATGATCAAAAACATCAAAATTAGGATTTATTTTTGAATTGGGTTGGTACTACTGATCGATGGAATAAAATAACTTATTGGATATGTTTTACGAGTTAATTCTAAATCTTTTTCGTATGAAAAGTTTTTTTCCAACACATATAATTAATGAGCTATAAAAGAAAATTGATGAAAACATCAAAATTTCTATTTCTCTCACGTTGGGTTGGTAATGCTGATTGGGGGAATAAATATATTTATTCAATGCGTATTATGAGTCAATTCTAAACATTTTTTGTTTAAAAAATAATTCTCCATCATGCACAATTAATAAGTTACAACCGAAAATGATCAAAAACATCAAAATTAGGTTTTATTTTTGAGTTGGGTTGGTACTACTGATCGATGGAATAAAATAACTTATTGGATATGTTTTGCGGGTTAATTCTAAATCTTTTTCGTATGAAAAGTTTTTTTCCAACACATATAATTAATGAGCTATAAAAGAAAATTGATGAAAACGTCAAAATTTCTATTTCTCTTACGTTGGGTTGGTAATGCTGATTGATGGAATAAATATCTTTATTCAATGCGTCCTATGAGTCAATTCTAAACATTTTTTGTTTAAAAAATAATTCTCCATCATGCACAATTAATAAGTTACAACCGAAAACGATCAAAAACATCAAAATTTGGTTTTATTTTTGAGTTGGGTTGGTGCTACTGATCGATGGAATAAAATAACTTAATGGATATGTTTTGCGGGTTAATTCTAAATCTTTTTTGTATGAAAAGTTTTTTTCCATCAGACATAATTAATGAGTTATAAAAGAAAATTGATGAAAACATCAAAATTTCTCTTTCTCTTACGTTGGGTAGGTAACGCTGATTGATGGAATAAATATCTTTATTCAATGCGTCTTATGAGTCAATTCTAAACATTTTTTGTTTAAAAAATAATTCTCCATCACGCACAATTAATAAGTTACAACCGAAAATAATCAAAAACATCAAAACTAGGTTTTATTTTTGAGTTGGGTTGGTACTACTGATGGATGGAATAAAATAAGTTAATGGACATGTTTTGCGGATTAATTCTAAATCTTTTTTGTATGAAAAGTTTTTTTCCAACACATATAATTAATGAGTTATAAAAGAAAATTGATGAAAACGTCAAAATTTCTATTTCTCTTTCGTTGGGTTGGTAATGCTGATTGGGGGAATAAATATCTTTATTCAATGCGTCTTATGAGTCAATTCTAAACATTTTTTGTTTAAAAAATAATTCTCCATCACGCACAATTAATAAGTTACAACCGAAAATAATCAAAAACATCAAAATTAGGTTTTATTTTCGAGTTGGGTTGGTACTACTGTGTTAGTGTAAAACTAGAACTAACAGTTCGAGAGAATCGTGCGTATCATAAGACGGACGAAAACTCAAGAGTGTCATAAGGATACATACTTTAACTGCTACGATTTTTTTTGTATCAGACCTTTCTAAAAGTTTAACAAATTTGGATCCCTGCTCATATTGATATAACAAGACATTTCATAATATTAAACATTTTTAATTAAATTAATTACCTGAGTGATTTGTTGCGCAACAATCGTAGTTTTATTCATATTAAATTTGTCCTTCCTCAAATGTATAAGAGTATACAACGTGTGCCCCTTGCTCAAACTGGTTACAATAGCCAATCTGGGCGGTTTCATACACGCCCCCATAAACAAAACCAAATTTTCGTGCCGCGTCTTTCGAAACGTCGACACCTCCATTTTAAAATGTTCCAACGTTGTCTCGTCATTAACATATTCCATGTTTAACACTTTAATAGCGACGTCTCCATACCAATAACCGCGATAAACTTTGCCGAATCTTCCAGTACCGATTAAATCTTCAACGTCAAGTTCATCGTATGGGATATCCCATTCTTTCATTGATAACTAATCAAAAAAATTGTAATTATTTTTAATTAAATTAATTTTATTAATTTTTAACTTACACTATTTTGTCTATTTGTCCATCTAGGTCCATCGGTTAATGTATCGGTATCGGAAACTTGGCTATCTTGAGAATCGACGCGAACGGGAGTTCGATCGGAATCGCTTGTACTCGTACTTCCGGTTACCGTTTGATCGCTACCTTCGCTTTGTTGTTCTTCCACGACTGAAGGTACAGTCAGGAGGGGAAAAGTTTGTAAAGTTACACCATTTTCAACATCTATGTATTTTAAATAATAAAAAGAAATTGTAGAATTTAAGAAATAATTAATAATTTTTTGTTGTACCTGGAAAATGAAAAGCTGGTGGAACATACTGGTGTTGAGGTGGGGTCTGTGCTGGTTGTAAAGCGGGGCTTGACGGTGTAGAACTATTACAACTCGAGTTCGAACTTGAATCATGTAACTAAAAATTTTTTTGTTTAATTTTTTATTTAATTAATTTTTTTTAAATAAATTTACCGGAAAAGGGATGTTATTTCCGGGTTGCGGGTGCGAATGTTTTCTTGGTTTCTTTAAATTTTTAAAATTTTTATTCGCCCTTCCTGTGTTGGGGGAATAAAAAACAACTTCTACAAAATATTATTAATATATTAATAGCTCATTATATGTGAGTAAAATACTATACTTTGCCCAAGACTTATTTTTTTAAATAAAGTTTAAACGTCAATGTGACACAAATTAATTGTTACCAACTGTAACTAACTTCACAATTTGTCAATTTTATGAAACGTCATGTTGGTTTGAAATTTTGACGTTTCAACTTGACGTGAATAATGATTATTCAATGTGTGAAAAATGACAACCCTATTCTTTTAGAAAACTGATTTATAAGGTATGTAGATATTATAAGGTAGTCGTGGGCAAAATATATTAATATAATTAATAATTAAATTAACCTTCGCAATTCTTTTTGAATTCATCCAAAAGTTCGGGTGGTAACCCGCAAGATGGCGTCACTTTATCTTCGCATTCCCTATGACACTTGTATTTACACTCTTTACATTTTAATCCCGTTCCGAAATAAATCGGTTTTAAACAAACTCCGCAAGTTGTTACTACTTTAAAGGTTTTCGTGAAACGATGGGCTATTTGATGACCCATCCCTCGCCCTATTGTAGGAGTTCTCGGTGATTTTGGTACTTGAAGAGTTGCTGCTAAAATTTTCGAATCATTATTTTCATCAAAATTTTTATCTCTTCTTTATTACATTTAAAACTGTTATCATCACTATCTGTGTTATACGGTGGGGATCGTACAGGACTTGGTAATAAGGGGCTGTTATAACCTTGAGTTCCCTCAGGTCCGGGTTCTGTTGGTAATCTTGCACGTCTTCCGGTTGTTTCACTACAAATTAAATATAATTATTATTGTAGCGCCATCTATTAATTTCATATGGTAGCAAAATGAAAATTAAAGTTAGATACCGGGAATCACGCTTGGATTTCAAGAGACTTTGGTGTGATTGTCTTTTATATATTCGAAATATTAGAACGTACCCTAAAGCGACAAGTTCAAATTGTTGAATTGTCATTTTTAACTTCAAATCAGTGTTTCAACAAAAACGTTAAATTCAAAGCGTCATTTTGAACCTAAAACGTTTAATTCCAAGATATTTAAAACGTCAAAAACAAGATTTCAATATTCATAATTTCAAGTTGACGTAAAGCGGTATATTCGACATTTTAGAACGTTGCCTAAACCGACAAGTTCAAATTGTCGAATTGTCATTTTTAACTTCAAACGTTTAATTCAAAGCGACATTTTGAACCTCAAACGTTTAATTCCAAGATATTTAAAACGTCAAAAACAGGATTCCAAATTGACGTGAAGCGGTATATTTGAAATTTTAGAACGTTGCCTAAAGCGACAAGTTCAAATTGTCATTTTTAACTACAATCAGTGTTTCAACTAAAACGTTAAATTCAAAGCGACATTTCGAACCTGAAACGTTTAATTCCAAGATATTTAAAATATCAAAAACAAGATTTCAAAATTTATAATTTTAAATTGTCGTAAAGCGGTGTATTCGTAATTTTAGAACGTTGCCTAAAGCGACAAGTTCAAATTGTCGAATTGTCATTTTTAACTTCAAATCAGTGTTTCAACTAAAACGTTAAATTCAAAGTGTTATTTCGAACCTAAAACGTTTAATTCCAAGATATTTAAAACGTCAAAAACAGGATTTCAAAATTCATAATTTCAAATTGACGTAAAGCGGTATATTCGAAATTTTAGAACGTTGCCTAAAGCGACAAGTTCAAATTGTCATTTTTAACTACAAATCAGTGTTTCAACAAAAACATTAAATTCGAAGCGACATTTTGAACCTGAAACGTTTAATTCCAAGATGTTTAAAACGTCAAAAACAAAATTTATAATAATTAAATTGTCGTAAAGCGGTGTATTCGTAATTTTAGAACGTTGCCCAAAGCGACAAGTTCAAATCGTTGAATTGTCATTTTTACCTTCAAATCAGTGTTTCAACTAAAACGTTAAATTCAAAGTGTTATTTCGAACCTAAAACGTTTAATTCCAAGATATTTAAAACGTCAAAAACAAAATTTCAATATTTATAATTTCAAATTGTCGTAAAGCGGTATATTTGAAATTTTAGAACGTTGCCTAAAGCGACAAGTTCAAATTGTCATTTTTAACTACAAATCAGTGTTTCAACTAAAACATTAAATTCGAAGCGACATTTTGAACCTGAAACGTTTAATTCCAAGATATTTAAAATATCAAAAACAAGATTTCAATATTTATAATTTCAAATTGACGTAAAACGGTATATTCGAAATTTTAGAACGTTGCCTAAAGCGACAAGTTCAAATCGTTGAATTGTCATTTTTAACTTCAAATCAGTGTTTAAATTCAAAGTGTTATTTCGAACCTTAAACGCTTAATTCCAAGATATTTAAAATATCAAAAACAACATTTCAAAATTCATAATTTTAAATTGTCGTAAAGCGGTATATTCGAAATTTTAGAACGTTGCCTAAAGCGACACGTTCAAATTGTTGAATTGTCATTTTTAACTTGAAACCAATGTTTCAAAAAAAAACGTTAAATTCAAAATGTCTATATTCCAGACATTTGACACACCTGTATAAGTAAATCTATCGAGTGTCAAAGATATAAAGCGACCACTCAGAAACCTGCTGGGTTGGTTCAAACATTTGAGATCATCGCAGTCCTTTACCTATAACCTCTGATGGACTTAAATGGATCCTGGATAGTGGAGGATGTGTCATCTAAATACGTGGAACTATTTGGGTTGGAGAAGTCTTTTGCGGAAGAATGCGCCAAGGCCCTAATTATCGAAATATTCCTTAGATATGGAGTACCACGACGAATGATATCTGTCAATGGAGTCCTACTTGTAAGTAACATAATGTAATGTGTCACATCAAAACCTGATTTCGCAATACCACCCCAAGGTAACAAATTCAAAAAAATTTGGTCCCAGAGATCATCTGTATCTACAACAATTACTCAAAATTGCTCAAAAACGTTGTTGTTATAAAAATTATCAGCCCTACTACGTCTTTTTGCCTTTGGAGATGCAAAAATAGCAGTAAGAAGGGCTTTCGACTCTTCAAAGTACCAGGAGAAAAAAAAAATAAATAAAATTTGGCAAAATTTTATCAACGAGTTTTAAATTTCCCGCTTGACTTTCACCAAAATGGCGCTAGGGAGAGCCTGTAACGCCATCTATTGATTCCATACGGTAACAAAATAAATCGGTAATGAAGAAATCCGCGCGAAATAATTTATTTATTAAAAATAATTATTAATTAAAAAATTAACTCACTTTGAATTGTGTATCTCGTTATTATCATTTTTTGTAGCAGCCAATTGAAGTTCGTGCGATCTACTTTTAGTTAAAGGATATATTTCTGGAGAAAAAACCGTCGATTGTACCCCAATATTTAAACGATGTTGCGGTGGTGGAGTTGTGGGTAATTTAACAACTAAAAATTAATTTTTTATTATAAATAATTTTCTTTCAAAAACTTAAGGTAGCAATTAAGGAAGCATGCAATGTTTATACCTTTTCCCCTGCCCTGTGGGGGTGGTGTTAATGGGGACCACGGGTTAGTTTGAGCATTCAAGGAACTGATACTAGAGACAGAACATGAAGGCGGCAGCGCACCTCCTCGATTATTATTCAATCCTAAACTTTCTACCGAAGGAACTGAAGCTCTTGAAGAACGCCCGCGAGGGGGGCGCGGCGAATTGTTTAACTTTAAAGCGGTGTTTTGGCGATCCCAAGAATCCCAATGTAGTGGTTGTTCACAGTCTTTATCGCCCCTTTTTAATACATCTACAATTTAATCATTAAATACAAAACAATTAACACAAAAATAATTAATTTACCCATGCATTTTTTTAAATTTTTAACAGCTCGACACAATCTACTCAATTCTTCAGTTCTAGCCCCCTTATCTGATAAAATACTTTTCAATTCATACTCGCTCCTTTCTTGTAATTCCTCAACTGAAGATATTTTTTGACACAATCCTTGAATGGAATTTTGACACAACCCAACAACTTGTAACCACTGGGTTAAAGATGGACTATGGGGCATCTCACCATATCTCAATTTCCCCTTCATCACTAATAATTCCGAAAACATCTTAATCAATTTTCCCTAAAATCAAAACAAATTTTTTAGGTTATGTTGCTCAATCAGTTGAAATTTCGAGAGGAAAACGATGTATTTGTTGCGGTACTCACCTCGAGGGTACGAATTTCTTGTTGAGTGAGCTCCGCGCTCGTTGCACATTGAGTGCGGAGCCCCTCGAGCCGTTCGGCCGAAGCGTCTATCATCGATTGCATTATAGCGATGTTTTTCTTTAACTCCTTGTCGGCCGTTTCATCTGCCATCACAGAGAAGTCGTTTACGGTCGCACTTTCACTACCGAGAGAGACTAACCCCCCGTTTTTATTTAACACAGAAACTTCATCGGAATTATCTACCTTTTTCCCCGTTTCTATCTTGTATTTATCTTGAAAAAGGGGCGCATCACTTTGACATGTAAACGTTTTAACTGATCGGCGCCATTTTGAAAATTGTCTATACATAAGTTAATGTCGGTAAAGAAGGAAAATATAAAATTATTTTTATAAATAAGGATAAATAATCGAAATATTAATTGTAAAAATAAGTAAGAATAAAAATGATTAAAATTAATTTGTTTATAATAAATTAATGCATTTGTAACGAATTAATTTTTGAAATTACAAATTTTTGTCCATAGATGTCGCTAGTTTGTATTAAAACAAATTAATCAAAAAAAAATTAATTATTAAATACGTATCTTTTTAATTGATTAATTTGATTAATTAAATCATATTTTTTAATATTTTTAAAATAATCGGTTAAAAATGCATTATATTTTTTAAGTCGATAAATTAGAAATTTTTGATAAGTCAAAATTAATTTTTAAAATAACTTTTAAATAAAAAAAAAAATCTTTGTGAGTAAAAAAAAAGGAAGATTAATGAGGGTTTTAGCGCGACAAATATTTTTTTGTGCTCGAAGAAAATCTCCATAGCAAAACCATTAGGGGGATTTCAACACTTCTTTTTTATTTCCCTTTTCCACACAAATAAATAGTTTTCGTCTCAAGTAGAGCGCATTTTATTCGCGTATAAATTAAACCAAGATGTAATATCAATATTTATGTGAGGTTATTAAGTTGGGATTTAATTTAGTTGCAATATATCATCTTAAAATATGTTAGTTTATCTTTTGAGTTTGAATTAATTAGTTTTAGATTTTTAGCTTCGAAGTTATTATCTCAATAGGTTCAAGAAGAACGTATTGTTGAGGTTTGGCATAATCCCTTCCATTATCCGTAGCCGGTAAAGCCCACATCCCATCTCAATTTAGGCCCCTTTAGAATTTAGATTATAACCGAAACTAGAGAGAGTGCTCTAAATCAACATGGAACTAAAATACAATCAATTGAAAACGCGAAATGAAAAATAAATTTCCGTATTAATAGATTTAATTAAGGTGGTGCAATTTAATAGTTTGTAGATGTACTTCCTGTTAGCTCGCACCCTCTTCATTTATAGTTTCTGCAGTTGACATCTTTGACACCAAACTTGCTGTCGACGATGCGTTCAAACAAATTGCGTTGGATGGAATGATTAAGTAGTTGCGAATTGAAAAGTTTTAATTACTTTTTAAGACTTGGTGGTGTTGATGACGATCAAAATTAGTTTATTATTCGCTGTTTGTTACTCTTAACGTCCTTGATGGGGTATGACGAGGAAGTTTTATTGGAAACTGTTGGAATCGAGGGATTTGACGGATAAAATGTTTCGGATCGATTGAAAAAACTAGCCATTTCGTGGGAATTTTTTTAATCCGATTTTCAGTTGAAAATGTAAATGAGGTTCGATGTGGGGTAAAGGTTTTTAATGGAAAAAACGGAAAAATATAATAACATAATCTTCAAAGGTTGTAAAGAAGATATAAAAGTAGATTTGCCTGAAATTTCAATTGATTTCAAAAATGTATATCTCAATTACTGAGAAAGATAAATCAAAACGGATTTTATGGTTGAAAAGTAGACACTTTGATTCATAATTGGTGATAATTTCGTAATGATTTTCCAAAAAATCGATTTTCTACGTATTTTTAAAATGAATTGACGAAAGCTTGAAATTTTCAAAAAATTTCGATTGATTTCAAACATTTATAACTCAACTATTGAGAGAGATACATCAAAACGAATTTTATGGTTGAAAAGTAGACACTTTGATTCATAATTGGTGATAATTTCGTAATGATTTTCCAAAAAATCGATTTTCTACGTATTTTTAAAATGAATTGACGAAAACTTGAAATTTTCCAGAAATTTCGATTGATTTCAAACATTTATAACTCAACTATTGAGAGAGATACATCAAAACGAATTTTATGGTTGAAAAGTAGACACTCTGATTCATAATTGGTGATAATTTCGTAATGATTTTCCAAAAAATCGATTTTTTACGTATTTTTAAAATGAATTGACGAAAACTTGAAATTTTCTAAAAATTTCGATTGATTTCAAACATTTATAACTCAACTATTGAGAGAGATACATCAAAACGGATTTTATGGTTGAAAAGTAGACACTTTGATTCATAATTGGTGAAAATTTCGTAATGATTTTCCAAAAAATCGATTTTCTACGTATTTTTAAAATGAATTGACGAAAACTTGAAATTTTCCAAAAATTTCGATCGAATTCAAAAATTTATATCTCAATTGCTGAGAGAGATAAATCAAAACGGATTTTATGGTTGAAAAGTAGACACTTTGATTCATAATTGGTGATAATTTCGTAATGATTTTCCAAAAAATCGATTTTTTACGTATTTTTAAAATGAATTCACGAAAACTTTAAATTTTCCAGAAATTTTGATTAATTTCAAAAATTTATATCTCAACTATTGAGAGAGATAAATCAAAACGGATTTTATGGTTGAAAAGTACACACTTTGATTCATAATTGGTGATAATTTCATAATGATTTTCCAAAAAATCGATTTTTTACGTATTTTTAAAATGAATTCACGAAAACTTTAAATTTTCCAGAAATTTCGATCGATTTCAAAAATTTATATCTCAATTGCTGAGAGAGATAAATCAAAACGGATTTTATGGTTGAAAAGTAGACACTTTGATTCATAATTGGTGATAATTTCGTAATGATTTCCCAAAAAATCGATTTTCTACGTATTTTTAAAATGAATTGACGAAAACTTGAAATGTCCAGAAATTTCGATCGATTTCAAAAATTTATATCTCAATTGCTGAGAAAGATAAATCAAAACGGATTTTATGGTTGAAAAGTAGACACTTTGATTCATAATTGGTGATAAATTTCGTAATGATTTTCAAAAAAATCGATTTTCTACGTATTTTTAAAATGAATTGACAAAAACTTGAAATTTTCCAGAAATTTCGATTAATTTCAAACATTTATATCTCAACTATTGAGAGAGATAAATCAAAACGGATTTTATGGTTGAAAAGTAGACACTTTGATTCATAATTGGTGATAATTTCGTAATGATTTTCCAAAAAATCGATTTTCTACGTATTTTTAAAATGAATTCACGAAAACTTTAAATTTTCCAGAAATTTCGATCGATTTCAAAAATTTATATCTCAATTGCTGAGAGAGATAAATCAAAACGGATTTTATGGTTGAAAAGTAGACACTTTAAAAAGTATACTTATGTTTTATTAATAAGCCGAGGTCGCGTAGCGGGCGAGGCACAGCCTCGATAGCATTTTCTAAGGATGTCGATTATAACACCTCCACTATAAATAATCTCAGCCATATGAATTGGCGACCAGCATCTTCATTGTCTTAATATAAAATAGTTGTATAACAAACATCACAATGTTTTATCATTAAGCCGAGGTCGCGTAGCGGGCGAGGCAGAGCCTCGATAGCATCTCGACTATAAAGCATCTCAGCTATAACAATTCACGACCAACTTCTTCACTATAATAATTAGTTGTATAACAAAATGATGATTTTTTATTAATAAGCCGAGGTCGCGTAGCGGGCGAGGCACTGCCTCGATAGCATTTTTCTTTAAGAATCGATTGTAACGCCTCGGCTATAAATAATCTCAGCAATATGAATTCGCGACCAGCATCTCTATTGTGTTAACATAAAATAGTTGTATAACAAAGATCACGATGTTTTATCATTAAGCCGAGGTCGCGTAGCGGGCGAGGCAGAGCCTCGATAGCTTTTTTCTTTAATAGTCGATTGTAAAACCTCGGCTATAAAGGATCTTAGTTATAACAATTCACGACCAACTTCTTCACTATCTTAAAATGTAATAATTAGTTGTATTATAAAATGATGATGTTATTAATAAGCCGAGGTCGCGTAGCGGGCGAGGCACTGCCTCGATAGCATTTTCTTTAAGGGTGTCGATTATAACACGTCCACCTTGTTTGACCAGGTCATAAGGTTTTATCATTAAAAGTCATGTAGTGCCCGAGGCAGTACATAGAAAATCATTTTTCTTTAAGAGTCTTGATTGTAACACCTCGTCCGTAAGTGGTCTTAGCTATAATAATTTGCAACCACTACCTTGGCTGTCTTAATATAAAATAGTTAGTTGTATTACAAGGTCACGATGTTGTCATTACGCCGAGGTCGCTTGCGGCCAAGGCAGTAACAATATTGACTACTGAAAACGTACAGGGTGAGGCAATATTCACTCTCCAGATCTCGGAGATGAGTTCTACACTTAAAAATAAGGCAAAAATTAAGAATATTAAAATCCCAATAGCAACATTTTGCTGATGCTGGAGATTATATATTGAAGAGTATGATAAATGGGACTTGCAAAAAATTGAATACATCTGTATTGCAGAAAAAGAACAATATGTGCTTATCTCGGAGAAACAAAACATTAAACATTGCAGGTCATACAAATATCTCTTATTTCTTATTTATATAAATATCTCTTATTTCTCTTATTACCTCGGACATTCATTTTTTGGTAAAAACGCGTTAAATCCAACTTCCAATTTCAAGAGTTCGTCAAAATATCGATTGACATGTTTAGAGTTTCTATCTTCAACTCAGATATTTTTTATTTTACTCATATTAGTCGAAACATTTTCAATTCCAATACGAATTATCCGCAAAATCCGCAACAAACAAAACCGCAAAAACAATTAGATGTCTTCATTTCCTGTTTGTAACAATTTTTTTTATAAAAACATGATAAAATATGAAACCGCAAAATACTTTTCCAGAAAAAAATGCATTTGGTTAAATACAAATAAATCTTATTTCATATTTCCTTCCTCTTTCTTCTTTATCGTCATCTCTTATTAGTTAACAGCTGATCGACCCTGAATGATTTTTTTTTTTCAAACTGAGCGTCATAATGAGTCAGTTTTTCCGTTACGTAAACTCAAGGTGCGTTCTTCTTACACGTGCCCTCTAAATTCAGGTCCAGATGGTCCCTTCTTTCTCCTTTTCCATTTAGATCAAAGGGAATTTCTTAGAAATTCGGCTTCTTTTAAACATTAAAGCACCTTGGGTGCACAGGAACCTCTTTTATCGTGCGTTGTGTGTCTTTAAAAAAGAAATTCCTTTCGGTTACCTTTAAATCATTTCTCGTGTAAATATACATTTTTTAAAACAATCAAAATTGTTTTACAAAATTTTTATGTAGTTATTTTTGAATTTAATCGTCATTTCTTTTTTGTTTTCGTTGTGTTGAGACGGGATGATTGAAGAAAAGGTAGCCATAGGTAGCAAAAGAACGGCTGGCTGCTGGTTTCTCTCCCAACTCCTAATTCTCCCCAACAACAACTGGAGTTGAGGTTGGCTGGTTGTGGTTCGGTTGGTTCATAGTTGGTTCAGTTATGCCACGACCAACGTGATGTTAAGAACAAATTTAGTTTTTAAAATTCCGGTAAAGTAGTCTTAAATACTCTAAATACTACAATTTTAAATTTATCAGTGAGAGTTTATATTTAAATCAAACTTTGTGGATTCAATGAATGAAAAGGAGACCAAAAATTATTGTGTATTAACTAAAATCTTTAATTTCTTTTGAGTTTTTTTAAAAAGGTATGATTTTTTTTTGTTATATTAAACCCCTGTTAATAAGAACTGCCCATGACAGCTTCATAAGTTGTGCAATCAACGTCTAATTAGAGATCGAACCGTAAAAGAGGCTTTCGTACGCAGACATTTATTTTAATTATAAGGTTGTTTGTGGGAGAATTTGTAAATATAACGTTTGTTTAGGGGAGTTGAAATGATGAGTGTTGTTTCTGGCAGATTTAAAAGATAATATTAAAACGCCCAAATTATATAATTAATAATCTTACAGACTTGAAATTATTACCAAAATAAAGATGAATTCTTCTTTTATTACCTCAAAAAGTTTTATTCCTTAAGACCCATTAGTTATTTAGAAAAGAATTTTTTTTTAACAATCATGTCAAAAATTATTTCGATTTTAGGTTATGTCTACTTTATGATTTTTTATCAAAAAAACTAAAAATCCTACAAATTTGAAATTATTACCAAATTAAAGAAGAATTCTTCTTTTATTACCTCAAAAAGTTTAATTCTTTAAGACCCAAAAGTTTCTTAGAAAAGAATTTTTAAAATCTATTATGTCAAAATTACTTCAATTTTAGGTTATGTCTACTTTATGATTTTTTATCAAATAAACTAAAAATCCTACAGACTTGAAATTATCACCAAATTAAAGAAGAATTCTTCTTTTATTACCTCAAAAAGTTTTATTCCTTAAGACCCATTCATTATTTAGAAAAGAATTTTTTTAAACAATCATGTCAAAAATTATTTCGATTTTAGGCTATGTTGGGTTTCTCATTTTTCATCAAAGAAACTAAAAACCCTACAAACTTGAAATTATTACCAAATTAAAGATGAATCCTTCTTTTATTACCTTAAAAAGTTTCATTCTTTAAGATCCATTAATTTCTTAGAAAAGAATTTTTAAAATCTATTATGTCAAAATTACTTCAATTTTAGGTTATGTCTACTTTATGATTTTTTATCAAATAAACTAAAAATCCTACAGACTCGAAATTATTACCAAATTAAAGAAGGGTTCTTCTTTTATTACCTCAAAATGTTTTATTCCTTAAGACCCATTCATTATTCAGAAAAGAATTTTTTTAAACAATCATGTCAAAAATTATTTCGATTTTAGGTTATGTCTACTTTATGATTTTTTATCAAAAAAACTAAAAATCCTACAGACTTGGAATTATCACCAAATTAAAGAAGAATTCTTCTTTTATTACTTCAAAAAGTTTTATTCTTTAAGACCCATTAGTTTCTTAAAAAGGCATTGTTGAAATCAATCGTGTTAAGAATTGGCAAAGTTATGTCATTTTCTTAAGTTATGTTTTTTCTGTTTTAATAAATGTTTTCGAGGAAAAATTAGCAACATATAAAAAAAATCACTCACCTTGTTATAAGTCCCTTGTATCTGAGGAAAGCAGATTGCATCTTCCTTGGTTCATGAATCATCAATGTTGGATTTATGGCAGAATGCGATCTAAGACTGATAAAAATAATACATTAAATACATGAATATTATTTTAAAATTTCTTTCTAATATTGAATGTTTTATGACTCATTCCATTCAGTAAGATCAATAGAAACTTTCCAAACTCATAAAACCTAACTAAAAGTAGTTAAACTTTCTAGAAAAAAAATTCATTAAAAACTTTATGGTCTAATAATCTAAAATATCTTTTCTTTTTCAGGTTATCAAAAATACAATGTTAATTTCTCACCGAAAAATGATTCCATCCAATTTCTATTTAATTTTCTTTAACTTCCTCCTCATCAAATCCTCCTTTTCTTCACCATCATCATCACCATCAGAAGAAGACTTATTAGATGAATACGTTAACCACGTGGGACGAGTGAACAGTGTTCGTAAACCTACAAAGAACGAAAACAAAGTTATTTTTAATTTCGGTGCTAACAGAAAACTGAAAAGTGTAGTTGATAGCGCGTTAATCGAAGAGGAACAATGGACCCATTCCGAATTTTTAGACGCCGAGCGAAAAGTGCTATTGAGGTGGCAACCCCGGCATCAAGAAATTTTATTTCGCATCGAAGCCAAAACTTTAGGATATGTAGGAATTGGATTTAGCCCAAACGGCGGTATGGAACAAGCCGATATCGTTATTGGATGGGTTGATAAGTATGGAAAGGCCGTGTTATTGGTGAGTTAATAAAGTTTTTTTCTTAGAATTTGAATAATAGAAATGTTATTAAACAATTTTCGTAACAATCTATTGTTCCATTGAAACGATTCGGTTTAAAAGGGGCTCAATTCTTATTTCGTTCGATTGTTCAATCTGAATTGAAGATGAATATAACTCACTCGATTTTATTCCCGGTTTGGGTCTACATATTCTTTTTGATTGGCCTTGTCCAATTAGAACGTGAGTAATTAATTAATTTTTGTTAAATTTTTTGTTACATTAAGAATAGTTTTAGGTCCTTTTTGTAAAACCCACGAAGATTGCCAAAATTATTGCTTCCAACGTTCTTATCAATCGGAATATTGCACCGAATTCGGTTGCGGGTGTTACAGGCCAATCATAAAAGGGGATTAATCATGTTAAATGAAACGATTTTAAATGAATAAAAATAATCGCAGCATACAAATTCTTAATCTTTTTGAAAAATCCTTTAAAATGAATCCAAACACGACCTACTTTGCAATTAAAGTTTCCGAGATATTTCGATTTTTAAATTTTTTTTAAATTCAAGATGGCCGAAAACAAATGCTACATAAATATTGTGATAGATAATTAAAAATTATGTGCAATGAGTCCAAACTCGACATATCTAGGTGTAATAACACCGCAGATATCTGCATTTTTATAAAAACAAGATGGCCGAAAACAAAACACTAAGAAATCGTGTCATCTAAATGAATTTTATGATAGATATAGGGTGTGATATATCAAATTATGTTAAATTTTTTTGATCTTTACAAAAATCTTATTCTTTTTGGTGTTTATGAAAAATTTAATAAATGTTGCTCTTTTAATTAACACAAAAAATAAATATTTGTTATTTTCATGAAGAATCCTTTGAAGTGGATCTAAACATGACGTATTTTATTATAAAACTGTTCGAGGTATTTTGATTTTGACAATTTTGATAACATCCAAGATGGCCGAAAATTAATGATTCGTAGNAAGTTTAATTCTTTAAGACCCATTAGTTACTTAGAAAAGAATTTTTAAAATCTATTATGTAAAAATTACTTCAATTTTAGGTTATGTCTACTTTATGATTTTTTATCAAATAAACTAAAAATCCTACAAACTTGAAATTATTACCAAATTAAAGATGAATTCTTCTTTTATTACCTCAAAAAGTTTTATTCCTTAAAACCCATTAGTTATTTAGAAAAGAATTTTTTTAAACAATCATGTCAAAAATTATTTCGATTTTAGGTTATGTCTACTTTATGATTTTTTATCAAATAAACTAAAAATCCTACAGACTTGAAATTATCACCAAATTAAAGAAGAATCCTTCTTTTATTACCTCAAAAAGTTTTATTCTTTAAGATCTATTAGTTTCTTAGAAAAGAATTTTTAAAATTTATTATGTCAAAATTACGTCAATTTTGGGATAAGTCTACTTTATGATTTTTTATCAAATAAACTAAAAATCCTACAGATTTGAAATTATCACCAAATTAAAGAAGAATTCTTCTTTTATTACCTCAAAAAGTTTTATTCCTTAACACCCATTCATTATTTAGAAAAGAATTTTTTTAAACAATCATGTCAAAAATTATTTCGATTTTAGGTTATGTTGGGTTTCTCATTTTTTACCAAAGAAACTAAAAACCCTACAGACTTGAAATTATTACCAAATTAAAGATGAATCCTTCTTTTATTGCCTCAAAAAGTTTCATTCTTTAAGACCCAAAAGTTTCTTAGAAAAGAATTTTTAAAATCTATTATGTCAAAATTACTTCCATTTTAGGTTATGGCTCCTTTATGATTTTTTATCAAATAAACTAAAAATCCTACAAACTTGAAATTATTACCAAATTAAAGAAGAATTCTTCTTTTATTATCTCAAAAAGTTTAATTCCTTAACACCCAAAAGTTTCTTAGAAAAGAATTTTTAAAATCTATTATGTCAAAATTACTTCAATTTTAGGTTATGTCTACTTTATNGGCCGAAAACAAAACACTAAAAAATCGTGTCATCTATGCTTTTAAGAATGAATTTTATGATAGATATAGGGTGTGATATATCAAATTATGTTAAATTTTTCTGATCTTTACGAAAATCTTATTCTTTTTGATGTTTATGAAAAATTTAATAAATGTTGTTCTTTTGATTAACACAAAAAATAAATATTTCTTATTTTCATGACCAATCCTTTGAAGAAAATGGATCTAAACACGAAAAATATTTTTGTATATTGCATCTAAAATAAAATTCCCTATATAATAAAGAATAATTACCATTTTAGTGCTTGAATTCAAGCGGAGAACGGTAAATCAGTCGCGTCTTAATTAATTAGGAGCGTGAAACAACGCTAATGTTTCACGGCGGTTTAAATTTGCAATTTCCTCCGAGAGGAAATTCGTGCCCGTTCGATTTCGTTCATTTTCGCCGACTCACTTCGGGGTTCCCATTCGGTTTTTAAAGACGTGCGAAGTACGAAGCATATGGGATGGGAAAAACAGCTGTCGTTCATTTGAAGTCTTAAAAACACCTGCTTTGAAACTTTGAACAACTAGAGTAGTTCCATTTCCTTTCACCTGCCTAATTTTTTAAATAAAAACTTAAATGATAAAGTTGAAATAGATTGAGAAATATAACAGTTATAATCACCCTGGGAAACAATTTTAGCCCCTTTTAAAAACTGGTAGTTCCGATATCGTTACCTGAATTGGGGAGCAAGAATTTTTTGTACCCCTCTATTGTCGGAGCGACGATACGTTCCCGTGAGAAATTTTTAAAAGTGTCTTTGAGACGATTCTATCTAAAGAACGGGATTCTTTGTTCGTTTAACACATTTTGTGTTTGATATTCGATGCTTATTTAATTATCTCCGAAACTTTTGGTTCCATTTCGTGCGGGAAAGAGCACGTGTCGAAGACAGGTGCGAGTTAAACTGGCGACATATGCGTACTTGAACCAAACAGAGGGGGTAATTCTCTTTATTAAAATGGAAAAAAGGTTTTTTTTGCACCACCAACTGTTCAATCTAAAGCTAAAATAAAGAAAAATCGAAATTAACTTCCAATAAAACTAAAACTATCTAACAACTACCTGGAGCCAAAAGTTTTAATGTGAACGCGTAGACAGGATACAGCCTCCATTACACCGGTCGACTTCCTGTTTCTGCGCCGGCGGTTCGAGGACGTCTCGTTAATTTAATTCATTCATCTCGTTTTATTATTTTTTACTTTTCCTAGGATCTAATAACGATTAACTTCTACAAAATGATTTCTTTCACATCAATTCATCCCAGGATTCGTGTCTTTGTTAAACCCTCTTCAACGTCGAGAATGAAATATGAAGTTTTAACACTTGGGTGTCAATAAAATTGATGAAATATTCTTAAGTTATGTAAAATTTTTTCTACATGTAGAAAACGATGTGGTTTAGTAATTTCGGTTCCTTCTGGTTTCCTTTGGATGAGTTTGAGACCGGAAACGGTTCCGCTGTACGCTAAAGATTTCATCCAGAGCGTGACAGCGAATAGGATCAAACACCGGAAGTCCGTTTTTTTACACGCATTGTTTTTTTTTATTCTACAAGAATAAAAAAACGAATAAGGAAGGTATTCTTGAATTGGAATGGTTTTGGTGTTGGCATCTTAGGCGTTTGATGGTATTTGCGTTCGTTTAATTCACGAATAACTAGAATCACGTAACACGACGAGTCTTGATACTCGATTCGAGTCATGCACCTTCCTCATAAGTCGCAGCAGCTACTTTGCATGCAGTACGTTTTCCGTCGGTACTGGTTGGAAAGGTGTGGGAAAATATGAGTCAAGCAGTCGAAATGTATTTTGTGGATCACAAAAACAAATTTTTGAAAAATTCCATTTATTCTTTTCTTCCTAGAAAAACAGAAAAAAATAATTTAATCAAAAAACTCATTTGTATTAAAAATTTATAATTAATAAAACTTTTTAAATTATGGTATGAATTAATTAGCAACAAAATGAATTAAAATCCTGAAACACTTTGAATAGCGGGGTAAAATAATTAGGTTATGTTATATATCAAACAATTTTTTTTTAATTTAGAGCGATAAAATTACTTCGTGGAATCCTATATCACTAAAAATAAATAGATTGAATGTGTAAAAACGTATATAATAAGTAATAAGTTGAAAATCCACGAATTGCAAAAGAAATGATTGAGGTTATGTTTCCTGTCAAACTCTTCGTTGCTTAATTAGGGCGATAAAATCATTTCGGGGAACCTTAAATCACTAAAACTAAATAACTTGAGTATTTAAATACGTACTTTGAACGTTATTGAGGTTCAATTAAACTTTTTTTCGAAGAAAATCTTAAATTTTAAAGAATAACGTGCAGAATGTCAATCGGAATCGAAACTTCAAAAATACTTTCATTAATTATCACTAGATGGAGTGAGAATTTGTTTTATTTTTATTTTATTTAAAAATAAATTATGTGATAGTTTTTAAAGAATTATTAATTGTAAAAATTTGTATCTAAATTAAAAAATTCGTCTATAATTAATTTTTTTTTCATATAAATAATTCAAAATATAATTTAATACATGTAATTACTGATAGATGGAGTAACTATAAAATCTTTTTTATGAAGTTTATCATAAATTGGATGGTAGATTCTTGTTTAGAACTCAATTTCGCGTCGGAATTAACAATAAATCAGAACAACTTACACCGATTGTGCATTAAATTGCAAACAATCCCCATTTTGTCCAAGTTACACGTTTGGGATATCAAAACAAACAGCAAATTCGTGTAGGGAAGGTAATTTTCCTTACGAATCGTCTCAATGGATATACATATTTCAATTTTAATTCATTTAAAATTAATTTATAAAGTTATTAATATTTTATTTGTGTGTTTAAGGATTGTCACGGTGTTCCAAAATCCCAAGGAAGCGCCCCAGTAAAAGACGAACACGACAATTACACTTTAATGAAAGGCATCGAAAACGGCACCCACACAATTCTCGAGTTTCGCCGAGCTTTGGATACTTGCGATCCAGACGATTATGCATTAAGTTCCGATACGGTTCGTGCAATTTGGGCTTTACACGATAAAGATCCGCACGCCGATTTCGAAATGATTTATCACGGCGAGAAGCGAGGTTCGCAAAGTTTACATTTATTCGGGCCACCTCCGATCGTACAGAACGAAAATCCCGATTTTTTACGGACTTGGGATGTGACGTTGAAGGATTTTACGATTAACGATAGTATGGATACGGTGTATTGGTGCAAGATATTTAAGGCGCCCACTTTGCAATTGAAGCATCACATCATCGGATATGAGCCGGTTATTGGGACGAATCATACCGGGTTTGTTCATCATATGCTTTTGCACGAATGCGAGGTCGATTTGAATCAATTACAAAAACGCATGGAGTGGGATAGTTTTTCGAAAGAAAAGGGGAGGAGGTGTTATACTCCGGAAATGCCATTGGAGTGGGAAAAATGTACTACGCCTATTGTTGCTTGGGCTATTGGGTCTAAAGGTGATTTTTTTAATTAAACTAAAACTAGAACTAAAATTAATACTATCAAAGATTTCTAAAACTTTTCCTTCTAATTCTACATACAAGACTTGTTAGATTTTTAATTTATCAAAAATAAGTGTGAAATTCGAAAAGATCTCCCTCAAATTATTCGAAATGATACCCAACAACACACATTTTCAAAAAAAAAAACCATATTGGTAGCCATCTTGATTTTTTTTTGTAAAAAATTATAACTTTTAGTACTAAATTTGGATAGAGGAGGTCAAATTTATTCGAATTGATACCCAAGAATGTTAATTTTGGTGAAAAAATGAAAAAGTTACGTTGAAATGTCAACAATGACAGGCGGCCATTTTGTTTTTTGTCTCTCTTTATCATTTATTAAAAAACCAAAATAACTATCGAAGTAATTAAGATAACTTAGTCGTGTTTGGTATTAAATTAAAGCATTTCTGATCCAATTAGCGAGGTTAGAATTAAAAATGTTGCATTGCAACCATCTTAGATTTTTATTTAATTAAAAATTAGTGTAAAATTCGAAAAGATCAACCTCAAATTATTCGAAATGATACCCAACAACACACATTTTCAAAAAAAAAAACCATATTGGTAGCCATCTTGATTTTTTTTTGTAAAAAATTATAACTTTTAGTACTAAATTTGGATAGAGGAGGTCAAATTTATTCGAATTGATACCTAAGAAAGTTAATTTTGGTGGAAAAATAAGAAAGTTACGCTGAAATGTCAACAATGACAGGCGGCCATTTTGTTTTCTATCTCTCTTTATCATTTATAGAAAAACTAAAATAACTAGAGAAGTAATTAAGATAACCTAGCCGTGTTTGGTATTAAATTAAAGCATTTTTGATTTTTGATCCAATTAGTGAGGTTAGAATTAAAAAATGTTGCATTGCGACTATCTTAGATTTTTAATTTATTAAAAATAAGTGTGAAATTCGAAAAGATCACCCTCAAATTATTCGAAATGATACCCAATAAAGCACATTTTCAAAAAAAAAACCCATATTGGTAGCCATCTTGATTTTTTTTGTAAATAATTATAACTTTTAGTACTAAATTTGGATAGAGGAGGTCAAATTTATTCGAATTGATACCCAAGAAAGTTAATTTTGGTGGAAAAATAAGAAAGTTACGCTGAAATGTCAACAATGACAGGCGGCCATTTTGTTTTCTATCTCTCTTTATTATTTATAGAAAAACTAAAATAACTAGCGAATTAATTGAGATAACTTAGTCGTGTTTGGACTTAAATTAAAGCATTTTTGATTTTTGATCCAATTAGCGAGGTTGGAACTATTTAATATTAATTATTAATTTTGTTGGTTTAGGTGAAAACTTCCCACCTCACGTTGGGCTCCCTTTGGACAACGCGAAAACGAAATATTACATGTTAGAAGTTCATTTCGATAATCCCCGAATGCGTCGTGCGCAAGATACCTCTGGAATCGCTCTTAAATACACCGGGAAGCTGCGTAATCACGATGGTGGTGTCATGGCAACAGGGATTTCAATCTCGGAATTTCACATTGTCCCCCCACGACAAAAAGAATATAAATCTGTCGGATTCTGCACGGCAGATTGTACGAAAGAGGTACTCTTCTTTACTCTATTCTATTTAAATAGATTACGTCATTGCTGAGAGGGTTTGAAATCCCTTTGAAGCGTTACTCGGAGCTCCCTTTTTAGTCTTTTATAATTATAGGTTTTTCCGCGGGATGGCGTCAACGTCGTTTCGGTGTTGTTACATTCGCATTTGGCGGGAAGGAGGTTGAAATTGCGACATTTGAGGGGTGGGAAGGAGTTGATCCCTTTGGCTGAGGTAAATTTTTTTTTAATTTAATGTTTTGATTTAAAATGAACTTTTTAGGATGATCACTACGATTTTAATTACCAACAATCTCGCCAATTATCGCACGAAATCAAAATTTTACCAGGTGATTCATTAATAACGGAGTGTAGTTACAAAACGAGTGATAGGAAATCGCCTACTTTCGGGGGGTATTCCACGCAAGAAGAGATGTGCTTAGCCTTTATTTTGTATTACCCCAAAACGGAGTTAGCGGGGTGTTTCTCAATGCCTCCGATTAAATATTTTTTTGAAACTTTGGGTGTTAAGGAATTCTATAACACTTCATGGAACGAGTTGCAAGAAGAAATTCTTCACGCAGAAACGTAATTTAAATACAAAAATTAAGATGTTATTGAAGAAATAATTAATAATTTCGTTTTTAGTGTTGAAACTAGCTCGGTTTCGCCTAAAAAAGATCGCCCTTTATTCACATATCAACCGGGGGATGAATATTCCGCGGAAGCCCATCAAAGAGCTGTCGAAGCAATTTTGAAAGCGGATCCTTACTTAATAGAAACAGACCCAGAGCAGCAACAATCTCCTTTCGGGAGATTGATTATAAAGGAACCGTTCGAGTTTCAAAACAAGAGCTTTCTAGCTCATTTGCAGGATATACCGTACGAGGAAGCTTTGATAACGAAAAAAATTGAGGAGTACTTCCACAAAGGGCTACACTTGACGTTTTGTAGGAAAAGGGATGGATCTTTAGCGATTGTAAGTTGATTAAAATTTAATTAAATCAAAAAAACAAATTCTTTTTTTGTTGTAGAAAGAAAATGTAGAAAGATTCCCGAATTTTACCGAATACAATTTGAGTAAACAATCCCAATGTAGTTATAGATCGCGAGTTTCGAGGAATAATAAAAATTCGGGGGTGGGAATTTGCGTTCGTGATGATGAGATGTTTTTGAATTTAACTCGGGTTTTTCTCGCTTCTTTTGTGTTTTGGATAAATACGACTTTTTAAAAACTGTATCGAATCGAAGAAAAAGAAGTTTGCTTGTAAATAGTCCATTTCTTACCAAAAAATATCTTAAAAAAATAAAAACGAGTACTTATACAAAAAAATGATGCGAAAATTTAGTTTTAAGATATTTTAGGTTAAATTTACGTTTAAAAAATGCTGTGAAATAGATTTATAATTAATTTATTCTTCAATACACCAATTTAAAATTGGAAAAAATGTGTTTTGAAAATTGAAATGTTCCTTCTCGTCTACTTAAGTAAATTGGAAAAATTTTGAAAAATGTTTCAAACGAAAAATATTAATAATTTGATTTTAAACAAATTTTATTTGAAAATTTTTTTGATACGACCTTTAATTATTGAGATAACCTCAAAAAATATCAATTCTATATGAGTATACAGCGCCATCTTGTGGAAATATTAAAAGTTTGAATTAAAAAAAACGATTTTAAATCGTACTCTAATTAAGTATTATATGAAACATTTTTCGAAAAAATCAAAAATATGAATCTTGAAATGCCGTACTATTCAGAGGGAAATAAAAAACACCTTATACTAGCAAACAGTATCATCTAGCAGGAAATTTAAAAAAATTTTCAAACGAAAATTATGTTAAATTTGATTTTAAACAAATTTTATTTGAAAAATTTTTTGATACGACCTTTAATTATTAAGATAACCTCAAAAAATGTCAATTCTATATCAGTATACAGCGCCACCTTGTGGAAATATTAAAAGTTTGAATTAAAATAACGATTTTAAATCGTATTCTAAATATGTATTATATGAAACATTTTTCGAAAAAAACAAAAATAAGGTTTAGATATATCTTAAAATGTCGTACTATTCAGAGGGAAATAAAAAACATCTCATACTAGTAAACAGCGCCACCTAGCAAGAATATTAAAAAAATTTTCAAACAAAAAATATTTCTAATTTGATTCTAAACCAATTTTATTTGAAAAAGTTTTTGATACGACCTTTAATTATTAAGATAACCTCAAAAAATGTCAATTCTATATCAGTATACAGCGCCACCTTGTGGAAATATTAAAAGTTTGTTTTGATAAAACGATTTTAAATTGTACTCTAATTAAGTATTATATGAAACATTTTTCGAGAAAAACAAAGATACGTATTTTGAAATGCCATACTATGCAGAGGGAAATTAATCTCATACTAGTAAACAGCGCCACCTAGCAAGAATTTTGAAAAATTTTTCAAACAAAGAATATTTCTAATTTGATTTTAAACAAATTTTATTTGAAAAACTTTTTGATACGACCTTTAATTATTAAGATAACCTCAAAAAATATCAATTTTATATCAATATACAGCGCCACCTTGTGGAAATATTAAAAGTTTGTTTTGATAAAACGATTTTAAATCGTACTCTAATTAAGTATTATATGAAACATTTTTCGAAAAAAACAAAAATACGTATTTAAATGCCATACTATTCAGAGGGAAATAAAAAACATCTCATACTAGTAAACAGCGCCGCCCAACAAGAATTTTGAAAAATTTTTCAAACAAAAAATATTTCTAATTTGATTCTAAACAAATTTTATTTGAAAAAGTTTTTTATATAACCTTTAATTATTAAGATAACCTCAAAAAATGTCAATTTTATGTCAATATGCAGCGCCACCTTGTGGAAACATTGAAAGTTTGTGTTAAAGAATTGATTTTAAATCACATTCAAAACAGTTACGGTAAAAATAAGAATAAATGGTAAGCTTTGAACATATTTTGAAATACCATACTATGCAGAGGGAAATTAAAATCATTTTCGACCTATTTTTAATATTTCGATCTTTTGAATATGAAAAATATTTAGATAAGTAATGAGAGTTTTGGATCAAAAGTTAATTCAATTATAGTGTAGGGTATAAAAGTAACTAGATTTAGGTTGGTATTGGAAAAGTAACTAGAATCTAGTGAATTTTGTTGGATTTACCTTACCCTGTTCTACGCGCAAAGCGTCTTATGAGCTGTCCTTGGCCTTCTGTATCTAGTTACTATTTTTCCCCCAGATTTAGGTTGGTCACTTTCCCTATAGTTATAACATCGGAGCGTGACGTCATAGGGGATTAAATTTTGATCCAGAACTCTTTTGACTTGTCTACTAATGAAGCTCTTCTTAAATAATAATAGCTGAAGTATTCAACTCAATGACCAATGACATTTATAAGAATTTCTATAATGATCAAAAAGTGTCTAAACGCTTTCTAGATATTTTTGGAGATTACCTGAAGGTTTTTAAAGAGGGCAAAAAATCTGTAAAACCATTCCTATGTTATCGCGAAGTGTTTAAACTGGTTTTGAATATTTTTAAAGATTACCAGAGGACACTTGTAGATATCAAAAGGTCCCTAGATGACTATTAATGATTTCTCTAGTTACGCAGACATTTATAAGAATTTCTATAATGATCAAAAAGTGTCTAAACGCTTTCTAGACATTTTTGGAGATTACCAGAAGATTTTTAAAGAGGGCAAAAAGTCTATAAAAGTATTTCTATGTTATCTCGAAGTGTCTAAACGCGTTTTGAAGATTTTTAAAGATTTTCAGAGCATACTTATAGATGTCAAAAAGTCCCTAGATGAGTATTGATGGTTTCTCTGGTTACGCAGACATTTATAAGAATTTCTATAATGATCAAAAAGTGTCTAAACGCTTTCTAAACATTTTTGGAGATTACCAGACGATTTTTAGAGATGTCAAAAAATCTGCAAAACCATTCCTATGTTATCCCGAAATGTCTAAACGCGTTTTGAACATTTTTAAAGATTGCCTTCATTATGTTATTATTAGCAAGTAATATATGTATCAAAATTAAATCAGAAAATAATTGAAATAAACGTCAAAAATAAATTGTGACAATTCAAAACCAAACTAAAATGTACTCTCGTTATAAAAAAAGAAATAAATCAAATTTTACAACATTCAAGAAGAACAGGTAACATCTAATGAAAGTAAATAAGTATGTAAAAATAAATTAAATTATTTTTAGGAAACTTTTTAAAAAACCTGAAGATTTCTCAACGATCCACTCCGAAAACAGAAAAAACCGCTTTATATTCGCAATCATATTCATAGCGGTCGCAATTTTTGGATTATCTTACGACCAATTTCGTTTAAAAAATCCAAAAATGAGCTACCTAAAAAACCTAACAAAGTGCGAAAACATCCGTATTGAATCGAAATTCGAAACCGTCGACGATTATCGCGTCTTTTACAATTTTATTGCCGCCGGTAAACGTTTCGAATGCGACGAAAGCATCACTTTCGCCACTTACGCGCGCTCGTTACCTGAAGACCTGTTACGTCTTGAAGATGCCGTTTCATCCTTTGACGGACCTTTCAGCATCGCCGTTTATTTGCCGGGAGATCAATTTTACAACGTAATGGAAATTATTTCTTACCTAAGACGCTGTCGAACGAAAAAGATTAAAAAAATGGTTACCTTTCATTTGATATTTAAACGAGACGATTTACCCAAAACGGTAAATTTAATTTCATATTCATTTTGGTAACAAAATAATTATTGCCGTTAATTTACGGTTGACGCATTAATTTTATTATTAAATTTGTCGCGTTCATGTATAATCAATAATTTAACGTTTATTTTTGTTTTTATTTTTATTTTTAGGATTCCTCGTCTCAATTAATAAAAGCGTTTAGCGACGATTTTAAATGTTCCGAATCCAACGATTTTAAACAAAAATTTAAGAATGTCCAAAACAAAAAATATCCGATTAATTTAGCCGAGAATGTTGCTAAATACGCGAGTCAAACTCATTTCATTTTTTCTTCAAGAATCGATTTGATCCCCCCGAAAAATTTGGTGAATTCATTTTTTAACATGTTAAAAAATCATCGAGATTATTACGATTTTAAACCGGCGATTTTTGTTTTACCCCTTTTTCAAATCGATGAGAATGTTGGGGTGCCAAGAAATAAAAGGGAGTTGAAGGAGGTTTTATTGAACGGAACTGGGAGGGTTTATTTAAAAACTAATTGTTTTGGGTGTAAGGAAATTAATATTTCCGATTATTTATCGCGCGATTTTGAGGAGTTAGAGGGCGATTTTGATGTGGTTAGTTTTGATAAGAAGTTGCCTAATTTGAAATTATTTTACATTGGCAGTAAGGATGAAGATGAGAAAAATCGATTCGAAGATTATAATTTTTTGATTTTAAATACGTTTTTGATTCAGAAATAAATGTTCGATTCATTACTCTGTATTTATTTTAATATAAAAAAACACAGACGATAAACGAGTCAATTTTAACGCGATTAAGTGATTCCATGATTACCACAGTTCTCAAGAATGTATGAGTCGAAGCCGAGGTTGCTCGCGGCCGAGGCGCTACATCGATAAGATAACGATACAAAAGTAGACAGTTTTTAAGAATTTGAGTCAACTAAGACATTACATTGATATGATATCAAGTGACCTGTTAAAGTGTTTTGAATTCTAGACCACTTCTACAACTAAAGAGACTTAGAATTACAAAACGCCGAAGCGCTTTAAATCGAAACTATGTTTTGTTGTGATAATTTGAAGAAATGACCTTGAACAAATTAAATACTAATTAAATTTACTTTTAAATGCTTGTTATTTCATGTTGATATCTAAATTCGTTCGTGAGATATGATTCCATAAAGGTCGTTGTTTTTCAACCTAACATCTATTGGTATGGTTGAAACAAAAAAAAATGTTTCTTCGGAATTTGAAAATTTGAAGAAATGACCTTGAACGTACTAAATATAAATTAAACTCTCTATAAAATGCTTTTTATCTCATTGCATTAACTCAATTAGTTCTTGAGATATAATACTTTAAAGATTGATGTCTTTGAATCTTCTGGGTATGATCGTGATTGTATTCAAAAAATCATAACCTCAAAGATTGAAAATACGAAGATATGACATTGAACATACCGGTTATGAATTAAATTTCCTATAAAATGCTTTTTATCTCAGGACAATATCTCAATTAGTTCTTAAGATATAACTTGACAAAGATTCATGTCTTTTAACTCATTGTATGTGAGTGTGATTGAAGTCAAAAAAGGATTTACTCGAAATTGGAAGTTTTGAAGAAATGACCTTGAACGTACTAAATATAAATTAAATTCTCTATAAAATGCTTTTTATCTCATTGCATTAACTCAATTAGTTCTTGAGATATAACATTTTAAAGATTAATGTCTTTGAATCTTCTGTGTATGATTGTGATTGTATTCAAAAAATCATAACCTCAAAGTTTGAAAATACGAAGATGTGACATTGAACATATCGGTTATGAATTAAATTTTCTATAAAATGCTTTTTATCTCAGGACAATATCTCAATTAGTTCTTAAGATATAACTTAATAACCAAGATAATTGCACTTGTTGGTTTTACGATATTTTCAGTTTTGGCCTCTAGGGGAAAAACAAAAGACGATAGCGTTTTGAGGTTTTCTCGAAAAACGAGATCATGACATGTAAGCTACTTTTTTTCCGAGTTAGCCCATTCGGACATCGAATTTGAACCACCCTGTGTACAGGGGGTTAAAAAGATATGGATGCATAATTTATTGTGACATTGTGAAATTAGGTGGTCTTGCGTTGTACACGTCATTTCCGGACAAGGAAAGTTTATATATATAAAGTCCGGTCCGAAAATGCTTCCTAAGAACTCAAAAAATACTTTTTTAGCGTTATCTCAAAAACGGCAAGGGTTAGAATGCCGAAATTTGGTGTATATCTCTATTTTTTCTGCTGTTTTAATTGCATTAAAAATTGTTTACAACCAGTTGTTTCCAAATATATAAATATTATTCTAAATATCCTAGTAAATATTCTATTACTGTCAAACGATGAATAAAAAGCAGTTGTAACCTATTTTTGAATTCAAATTGCTATTAAAATTCTCAAAATGGTTGAATATTCATTCGACGTGTATACCAATATCCATTTTATGCATGGTAAGGCCGATGGAAATGCTCGGGAAGCTCGAATTTGTATGCAAAAGAGTTTGTAAAAGTTTTACAACTTTTAATATGAAAGAACTAGGATAATATACTTATGTCGCAAATCGTTTAATGCAATTTTTCTTCGAAACGACTAGTTTTAAACATTTCGTTTATAAATGCAATTTCCGGACACGCTGTATAGAGAACCAAATGAAGTGGGGGTTTGAAAATTTTTTAACTAAAATATTTTCAGTTTCCAGGTACTTGTGGTTATACCGGAAGAGGTAACAGTTTGATATTTCAAATAGCCTACATTTTTGAAATCTTTCCCTGTATACAGGGTGTCCAATTAGTGCGATATCGGACGATATCTCCTTACAGGGTGTCGCTAGAAGAAAATGTTTATATATAAAGTTGTTTGATGCTCGAAGGTGCATAATCTAAAAATATTTTTGTTTATACAGGGTGCTGCAAAAACAAAGTACAAGGTACAACTTCGTAAATTTAAATGGAACACCCCATATTTTATTACATTTTATTACACTAATTGGACACCCGGTATATTCAGAATATAAATAAATATAAAAAGGTCTTAAAGAATGTGTTAAAGAATACTTTAAAACTAGGTTATCGTTATCCTCAACCTCATTTCAACTTTAAATCGCAATGAAAATGAGCCAAGTTAAAACTCAAAATGAATTTTAAAGCGTTATATTTTTTAATAATTAATTTAATTGATTTCTCGACAAGTTCCGATGAATTAAGTCTCGGGAAAAGGCTTTTAAAATTAATCGACTGCAATAATCGGGTTTTGGTGAAAAGTATCGGGATGCGAGGGAAGTATTTCGTTCTTTACAATTACGTTTTACCAAGTTTAAGCTTTAATTGTCGCGAAAGTGTCACTTACACCACTCACGGCGATTTTAGTTTCTTGGAAAATATAGAAACTTTAGTTGATCGTTGGGACGGGCCAATTAGCTTGGCAGTTTACGCACCTGGAAGCGATTTTGAGCTCTCTTTAAGAAGTATTAAGTATTTGAGGAATTGTAGACACTCGAAAATTAAAAAATTTGTCACGTTCCACGTTTTTTTTGATTGGGAGCATTTCCCGGTTAAGGTAAAAATGTTAAAAAACAATACAATAAGTTAAAACATTAAAAAAAATTCTTTTAGGAGTCTAAACCCCCGATTATTAATCGGTACAACGACGAAATTAATTGCAACCAAAAACCGCCTTACTCAATAAAAGAATCATCAAGTTACAGATTCTCAAAGAATTTAACTTACCCCATAAACACCGCGAGGAACATCGCAAGACAAACATCTCAAACCCATTTCGTTTTAGCCAGCGACATCGAGCTTTACCCCCCGATTAATTTTTCGGCAAAATTTTTAAATATGATCGCAAATAAAAGCCACATCAACCAAATAAACGTTAAGAAACCCCACGTTTTTGTAACCCCCGTTTTTGAATTGGCGAAACATTCCAAAATCCCCAACAATAAAACCCAACTACAAACACTCCTAAAAGAAAAGTTAGCGCAACTATTTCATCACGACATCTGTTCGATTTGCCACCGAATCCCAAAACTAAATGAATGGATCGAAAGCAAAGAAGAAATTGATGATGAAGCTTACGATGTTTTCGCCGTTGGTGAGAGGACGAAAAAATACTCTCATTGGGAGCCTTTTTATGTGGGAACGAGAAATGATCCACCTTTTGATGAACGATTAACGTGGGAGGGGCAAAGCAATAAAATCCCACAGGTAAAATTTAAATTTACCAAATTCACGTTTAATTTTTAAATAATTTTAGGCTTATTCGATGTGCCTCTTGGATTACCAATACTTAGTTTTAAACAACGCCTTTTTAGTACATCGTCCTGGAATTAAAAAAAGCAAAGATCAACTCACAAAATTTTCGAAATTAGTCGCAAAAACGAATTATTTGCTAAGAAACGTAATTCATCACGAATTAATGAGTTTGTATGGTAAAAAGAAAGGTTGTAGGTTATATTAAAAGAATTTGAAATCATTAAAGGAGTTTGTTTTGGAAAAGAAAGGGTTTTAATGAAAAGAATGTACAAAAAAGGGAGTTTAAAAGACTTGGTGGTTTATTTTTTTAATTAACGCCACGCCGACTTTTATGGATAATTGTTGGGGATTCCCAACGGATTATCCCTTCGTTTTCATTCAAACCACCCTAAGTAACTTTGAAATTGTTTGTACTTAATTAATTTTGGAAAAGAAACTTCATCATTATGATCACCACAAAATGAAAGCAATAGGGTTATTTATCATGCTAGAAAAGGCTAAAACTGTAGTGTTAAGTAGCGAGAATAAATTGTAAAAAGCTCAAAAATATGGAATGTAATTCCTAAGTTCAAAATTCCACCAAATTACCAAAAGATTTGGTGTGATAGAGATCATACAACGCTCAAATAGGTGTTTTAAAATCTCCATTGTTGCCCGAAATGTGTAAGCTGTTGTTTATAAAATAAAATAACCTTTAAAGTGAGTCCAAACTCTCAAAAAACCAAAAAATTACTATTAATTCTGACATATTTGTCAACTTCATAAAAAATCCTTTAAAATGAGTCCAAACTCGACATATTTAACATTAATATTAATGGAAATACAATCACTTCCGGTTTGAAACGTCAACGTCAATTTTGACATATTTGTCATCTTCATTAAAAAACCTTTAAAATGAGTCCAAAGATGACGCACTTATCTCAAAAAACAAAAAAGTTAGAATAAAAAGCATTAAACCCGAAGTTAGCAACAATGAAGATAGCAATTTAATTTTTAAATATTAATACCAACCTTAATTTTTTATTTTTTTTTTTATTATATTTTTGTTTTTGTGACAAATATTAAGACATTTTATAAAAATTAAGAATATGTCAAAATGACATTGACATTTCAAACCGGAAGTTGCTTATATCTCGAGTAATATTGGAATTAAACGTATCATGTTTGGACTCATTTTAAAGCATTTTTCATCAAACATGACGCATTTATCTCGAAAAACAAAAAAGTTAGAATAAAAAACATTAAACCTGAAGTTGGCAAAAATGAAGTTAGCAACATAATTTTTAAATACTAATACCAACCTTAATTTTTGAGATTTTATCTTGTATTTTCGCTTTTTATGAAAAATTAAAATTGACGTTGACATTTCTAACCGGAAATTGGCCATAACTTCATTAATATTGAAATGAAATATGTCGTGTTGGTACTCATTTCAAAGGATTCTTAATGACGATTACAAATACGTCAAAATTGAGGTTGACATTTCAAAGTTGACAACTTCATGGGGTTAATGTCAACTTTAATGTTGATATATTCGTAATCCTTATTAAATAACCTTTAAAATGAGCCCAAACATGACGCATTTATCTCGAAATACAAAAAAATTAGAATAAAAAATATTAAACCTAAAGTTGGCAACAATGAAGTTAGCAACATAATTTTTAAATACTAATACCAACCTTAATTTTTGGGATTTTTTCTTGTATTTTCGTTTTTTGTGAACAATTATATTTATTTTAAGACATTTTGATAAAATTACGGATATGTCAAAATTGACGTTGACATTTCAAACCGGAAATTGGCCATAACTTCATTAATACTGAAATTAAATATGTCGTGTTGGTACTCATTTCAAAGGATTTTTAATGACGATTACAAATACGTCAAAATTGAGGTTGACATTTCAAAGTTGACAACTTCATGGGGTTAATGTCAACTTTAATCTTGATATATTCGTAATCCTCATTAAATAACTTTTCGAATGAGACCAAACGTCAATTAATTTATCTTAAAAAACAAAAAAGTGTGTATAAAAAATATCATACCTGAAGTTAGCAACATAATTTTTAAATATTAATACCGAAATTTAATTTTTAAGCTTATTTTTTTTATATTTTCGTTTTTTGTGATAAATTTTAAGACATTTTAATAAAAATTAAGAATATATCAAAATGACATTGACATTTCAAACCGGAAGTTGCTTATATCTCGGGTAATATTGAAGTTAAACATATCATGTTTGGACTCATTTTAAAGGATTTTTAATGAAGATTACAAATATGTCAAAATTGAGGTTGAATGGCAAAGGATCACAAAAAACTACAAAGGCAGGAAATTAACACTCAACATCACTCCTTAAAACCACCAAGTAATTCCTTAAGACCTCTCAATGTCAGACATCAAGAGTTAAGAAATGAAAATGAAAATAATAATTCTTGAAAGGTCTTGAAAGCACTCATCGTGCTCAAGTTGCAGTCTATGCTTTAAATCATGTTACCAAACAACGTAGCACGTTTACTTGAATGATTATAATAAATTCCTAATATCAAGCCACGTGGATTAATTACTCCGAATGGCTTTCAATAAATTTTAATATTATTCCCAATACTTTTCATTGATTACTAATTAATCCGAGTGATTTTTAATGCCTCCCAATTGTTCTCAAGTAATTCCTAAGACCTCTCAATGCATCCCAATTACTCCGAATGGCTTTAAATCAATTTTAATGTTATTCCCAATACTTTTCATTGGTTACAAATTACTCCGAGTGATTTAGAATACTTCCCAATGGCTCTCGATTACTCCAAAAATGATTTACTTACTACAATAACTTGTGTCTAATCTATAGTTGTAATGGAATTGGATTAATTCCCCTTGGAGCTTATTAAGTTTAATATAAAAGTGCGTATTCATGTTAGAAGGAAAAATAATACTTGAGTGTACTTACATTGCACCTTGCTGTAGCTTCGCATCATTTGGAGTATGGATAAGGTGGTCGTTATTGTTCCTCTTGACTAAGATTTATGAGTTTCTTTTCCCTACGTATTTCCTTGGCTTTCTCAAAACGCTACCGAACCTAAATGTTCTCGCCGACATCGTTTTCAATTTCTCACATCGTTTAAATTAGGATATCTGCAGAAACACAGTTAACTAAGTTTTAATCCAAATTCAACATTTTTTCAAAATATAACAAATTGTTACAAAAAATAACTAATTAAGAAAATAAAAATAAAACTTCTTAAAATAATTAATTTAATTAGTTTTTATTTCTAAGAGAAAATAAATAGCTTAATTATTCCTTTTTCTAATCACATTTCCTTATTTTTTAATACACATTACTCAAAAATAAGTTATCGTATTTACACAGATAAATTATTTATTTCCGTTTCCGTTAGACGTTTCAATTTTTCACGGCATGTTTGTTTTATCTAAAAAGTTAATATAATTTTCTAGTTTTCTCGGGAGTTCGAAATGATAAAATGAAAATCCAATAAAGTTGGTTTGTTCGGGGCTAACAAACAGAATGGGATTCATTTCGCGCCCTGAATCTATTATTATTATTATTACGTTACGTGTACATACATATACAATGACAACAAGAAAGGTTTTCGGTTATTATTTGTGTAAATATTCAAAATGTACATACAACATACGCACGAACGAATTTTCCACCTCATTTTCTATTTTACAACGAAAATAACTCCGAGTTTTAATTAAATTTTTTTTCTTGAATTCCGGGCAAGTTTTCTTTTGATTAGATTTTAGTTTTAATTAAAAAAAAAAAACATTATTAATGTAAATTATTGTGTAATGTAATAAGCGTTGTATTATCCCCTTTTTTCTTATTTATTTTGAACTGAAATCTGAAAAAATAAATAATTAAAAATAAAATTAAAATAAAATTAAATTCTTTTTGGATTAATTTGAAGATAAAGCAAAAAAAATCACCTACTTTGTTATTAATTATTATTTTCCTCCACCCACACATTTTTATTTTAACACTTTTCACAAGTTAAAGCGCACTTTTCACTTAAAATTATTTTGTTAGCAACAAAGAGTTAATAAAGAGTCACATTTTAGTACAAGCATGATCCATACCATTCCCTAGTAGTGTAATCGATGTTTCTTGGCCCAAAATGTGCTCGTTATTCTTGCGGTTAATCGACACTTGACGCCCTTGGTGTCTTTTAACACAAAAAGATTGGTGCCGTTTTGAAGATGCCATCGACATCGACGTCGCGCGATTACCTTGACACGTATCGCATCTTACCCTTTTCGGTTTTATACAAAGAAGATATCTTTAAATAAATTTTTTTTTAATTAATTAATTAATTAACATTAAAATCTTAATTCTTACCTGTTAAAATGCTTTCTAAACGCGCCGCTAACCCAATAAAGCGCAATAGGATTGGCGCAAGAGTTAAGATAACGCAAACAGAATCCGAGAATTCGGAAATAATGCCAGAAATCGTTGTAGACGTTGTCCGCGCTAGGATAGAAGTAAAAGAAGAGCATGAAGGCGTGATATGGCAGCAGGCAGATGGCGAAAACGAAGACGAATATCAGTACGGTTATCGCCACCTTTTTCCTGGCACGAATCTACGACAAAGATACATAATACACAAAGAGGGAACAAGAGACGAGTTTTATGTATGTTTTAAGAACGAAAAATCTCGTTGTTTTACGACGTTCAATTCGATGCGAAAATAAAAAGTAAAACGGTTTTAAAAGAAAGGGATATGATGGATAATAAGATTTGTAAGGCATCGATTTTTTTTTAAATGGCGTTTCGTGGTTTTGATAATGGAGATAATTATCATAAATAATCGGAAGTTATTGGTGATTTTGACGTAACGGGTTTATGAGCATTAATTACAATTTACAACGTTGACGTCGGCCGTTCTCGTTACGCGAGGGTGAGAACCTCGCCGGGATCAGATCCGATACGGGAGAAAATTTACACAGGACGAACCGACGTCCGTCCGTTTATTTATCCCTCGGATAACACCCATTCATTGTTATATACGAGCTAGAATTGGATTTAATCAATCTATTAACTTCAATTTGTAAATTTTATATCATTAAAACCATTCTAACTTTTTTTTTAATCATGAAAGATCACCATGAAGTTGTCCATTTGTCTATTATATCATAACTAACTTCAGGTTTAAAATGTCAACCTCAATTTTGACATATTTGTAATCTTCATTAAAAATCCTTTAAAATGAGTACAAACACGACATATTTATCTTCAATATTAGTGAAGTTATGGTCAACTTCCGGTTAAGAATGTCAATTTTGACATATTTGTAATCGTGGTGAAAAATCCTTTAAAATGAGTCCAAACATGATACGTTTAATTTCAATATTAATCGAGATATAAGCAACTTCCAGTTTGAAATGTCAACGTCATTTCGATATATTCTTAATTTTTATAAAGTGGCTTAATATTTGGTACAAAAATAAAAAATTAAGGTTGGTATTAATATTTAAAAATTAAATTGCTATCTTCATTGTTGCTAACTTCAAGTTTAATGTTTTTATTCTAACTTTTTTGTTTTTTTAGATAAGTGCGTCTTGTTTGGACTCATTTTAAAGGTTTTTTTAATAAAAAATACATCATTAAAGAACACCACGAAGTTGTCCATTTGTCTATTATATGAATAACTAACTTCAAGTTTAAAAATGTCAACCTCAATTTTGACATATTTGTAATCTTCATTAAAAATCCTTTAAAATGAGTACAAACACGACATATTTATCTTCAATATTAATGAAGTTATGGTCAACTTCCGGTTAAGAATGTCAACGTCAATTTTGACATATTTGTAATCGTCGTGAAAAATCCTTTAAAATGAGTCCAAACATGATACGTTTAATTCCAATATTACTCGAGATATAAGCAACTTCCGGTTTGAAATGTCAATGTCATTTTGACATATTCTTAATTTTTATAAAATGTCTTAATATTTGTCACAAAAACAAAAATATAAAAAAAAAAAATAAAAAATTAAGGTTGGTATTAATATTTAAAAATTAAATTGCTATCTTCATTGTTGCTAACTTCGGGTTTAATGTTTTTTATTCTAACTTTTTTGTTTTTTGAGATAAGTGCGTCATCTTTGGACTCATTTTAAAGGTTTTTTAATGAAGATGACAAATATGTCAAAATTGACGTTGACGTTTCAAACCGGAAGTGATTGTATCTCCATTAATATTAAAGTTAAATATGTCGAGTTTGGACTCATTTTAAAGGATTTTTTATAAAGTTGACAAATATGTCAAAATTAAAAGTTGAAAGTTCGAACTTTTTGGTTTTTTGAGATAAATGCATCATGTTTGGACATATTTTAAATGTTCTTTTAATATAGAATACATCATGAAAGAACACCACGAAGTTATCCATTTGTCTATTATATGAATAACTAACTTCAGGTTTGAAAAGACAACCTCAATTTTGACATATTTGTAATTTTCATTAAAAATCCTTTAAAATGAGTACAAACACGACATATTTATCTCCAATATTAATGAAGTCATGGTCAACTTCCGGTTAAGAATGTCAACGTCAATTTTGACATATTTGTAATCGTCGTGAAAAATCCTTTAAAATGAGTCCAAACATGATACGTTTAATTTCAATATTACTCGAGATATAAACAACTTCCGGTTTGAAATGTCAATGTCATTTTGACATATTCTTAATTTTTATAAAATATCTTAATATTTGTCACAAAAACAAAAATATAACAAAAAAAATCAAAAATTAAGGTTGGTATTAATATTTAAAAATTAAATTGCTATCTTCATTGTTGCTAACTTCAGGTTTAATGTTGTTTATTGTAACTTTTTTGTTTCTTGAGATAAGTGCGCCATCTTTGGACTCATTTTAAAGGTTTTTTAATGAAGATGACAAATATGTCAAAATTGACGTTGACGTTTCAAACCGGAAGTGATTGTATCTCCATTAATATTAAAGTTAAATATGTCGAGTTTGGACTCATTTTAAAGGATTTTTTATGAAGATTACGAATATAATAATAAATTTTGTCTTATTTTTGTAATAGTAATTAGGAATTAACCGACTGAAATGTCAAATTTAATAATTAACATTTTATGAAATATTTTTAATTACTCAATTTACCGCGAACACACTAAATGAAAATCCGAAATTGTATGAATCTAGTTTGAACTAGAAAGCAAAGTCTAATATTACACTATCACAGTTTGTATCTGCAAGATTTATTTTATTGCGAAAGCATTATGTGCACGTTTAAGTCCTCACAATAAACGAATGAGAAATCAATATCCTGTTTCGCATTATGGAAGTGAAACACTCGTTTATCATCAATAGGACTATTCGTTATTCGAAATAACTTTTTGTGAAGAGTCTCTCGAGTCGTTACTTCAAATATTTAAATGAGTAAATACATTTAATTTCACTTAAAATGTGATATATAAAAATATATTTCCATAGAAACCAGGAAATTTTAATATATTGAGTATATATTGAGTTGATATCGAAAAATGCTGCCAAAATACAAGGTCTGAATGGATGCTACGTTCCGGAAGATACTGCCACAAAAAACAACCTCAGTATAAGCCATAAAATTCAACACTAGCAATGAGTCTGCTAGTGTTAGATCACTAGAACAAACAGTAAACCTAGAAATAGAAATATTCAGGTTTAGCCGAACGTCTTTTAAGACGGCTAAACCCGAATATTTCTAGTTCTAGGTCTAGTGTTAATTCTAGTTTTACACTAGCACTATCACTAGAACTAACACAACACCTAGAACTAGACTTATTCGGGTTTAGCCGCCTTGAGAGACGCAGAATACTGCAGAGAAAGACCACAACTTACTTGGAAAAGACTAGATACTGTTTTCAAAATTATACGTATTACTTCCAGAATGTTAAACACTGCTGTTAAAAGTTGTGACTTTGTTGGACAGGCAGAATACTGCTTCAAGACCACTTATTGCTTTCAAAGACTTGTTTGGAAAAGAGATTTGCTTTTCAAAAAGGTACCTATCGCTTCCAGAATGTTAGATATTGCTGGAAAAGATTAATAACTACTTGGAAAGAAGAGTTATGCTCTCCAAAGAAGGTACCTACTGCTTCCAAAATGCTAGATACTGGTGGAAAAGATTATAATCTGCTTGCAGAAGACTAGATACTGCTTCCATAACACCACTCACTGCTTTCAGAATCTGGAACTACTCCTAGCTGCTACAAGTGAATGACATTGCGGTCGTTTTATATTAGGGCGTCGATTTACCTTCTAGAGCATCTTGATACGACAAGTTCTTTGAGGTTAATTCTTTAAAACAAATGCCATTCTATTGGCGCGAATAATAAATATCGTATGTTTGAAACGATGTAAAGGTTGAGAAACGTCTTTGATGGGCTATAATATAAATAAGATAGTTTCATATCGTGTAAACCTACTTAGGTGAATGGATCGAGAAGATTCCAAATGGCATGGAATGAATTATGGAAGTTGAAACTACAAATTAACCAAGGATAGCAAAAAGGTCTTCTTATCGTGTTCAACGCACCGTGGTTCTTGCCCCATTTTTCTTAGTCTAAAATTGATCCGTCGAGCTGGATACTCGGATTATCGCCATTTATTATACTACATATCAATTCATTCATTTTGAACTAACCACCTCTTAAGCAGCTCATTTAAAAAATCGTCGTGTTAGTTAATTGGAATTGAATCCAGTTATATTATGATATTTATGATATATTGCAAGAGATATACATTCATATAAGTTGATAAGATGTTTTTATTGGGTTAAGATTCCATTTTAATGAAAATATGACCCTAAAGGAAAATCTTATCCGCAGAAAAACTGTATTTCCGGGCCCGAAATAGCGGAGAAATTGCAATCTTTATTAAATTATAACCAAGAAGATTTTTATGGCTCGTTTATGCTGCGATGAATAATTAACCTTCATAAATAAATCAAACGGAGAGTTATAAAACTTTATAACCTCACTTTTTAAGAAATGTTAACAAGTTTCTATAAATAATAATAACTCAATCAGAACCAGCCGACATTAATTTTCCATTAAGTTTGAGAAATAAGAGTAAATAAAACGAAACCGGATGAGATAGAGAAATACCAAGAAATATTGAATATTCAAAAGCCCTCAATTTATCTTGGCAATTTAGGATTTACTTTTCCAGTGGCGGTATAAAATGAATCCTTCCCGACAAGTTCGATTTTATGTACAACCCATTTTCAACCTTTTCGCATCGTTCCCGTCTCGAGCCGAGACGGCGAAACAACGTTTTAAGCGAACGCGATAAGTTCAAGCTAAAGACCTCTCCCTAATTGAATTTACAACGGGATTAACTCCCGCGAGTCATAAATTTAAGATGAAATAGATGCATCACTTGACTAAGCGACTAATGAATTATGGTGAGAAAAACGGGATTTTCGTTTTCATCTCTTTAAAAATATAAAACTTCTCAGAATAGACAGGCTCAAACTATTGAAAATTGTTTGGTACCTGTCCCTTTTTATTTATCACAGAACACTGATGACAGCTATCACAAGCACAGAGGGCATACAGGGTGTTTCTGTAAGTCGTGGCATAAATTTAATCACTAAAACTAGAGAGAGTGTAAAAATGTTTGAAGAAAATAAGCTAGAGTTTGATTTTGTACTCTTAACTAACTTCAGATTTAAAATATCAACCTCAATTTTGACATATTTATAATCTTCCTTAAAAATCCTTTAAAATGAGTACAAACACGACATATTTATCTTCAATATTAATGAAGTTATGGTCAACTTCCGGTTAAGAATGTCAACGTCAATTTTGACATATTTGTAATCGTCGTGAAAAATCCTTTAAAATGAGTCCAAACATGATACGTTTAATTCCAATATTACTCGAGATATAAGCAACTTCCGGTTTGAAATGTCAATGTCATTTTGACATATTCTTAATTTTTATAAAATGTCTTAATATTTGTCACAAAAACGGAAATATAAAAAAAAAAAAAATCAAAAATTAAGGTTGGTATTAATATTTAAAAATTAAATTGCTATCTTCATTGTTGCTAACTTCGGGTTTAATGTTTTTTATTCAAACTTTTTTGTTTTTTGAGATAAGTGTGTCATGTTTGGACTCATTTTAAAGGTTTTTTAATGAAGATGACAAATATGTCAAAATTAACAGATGAAAGTTAAAAAAAGTGACTAACACTAGATTAACTTCAGTTATAAAACTTCTATTATATGATAACTAACTTCAGGTTTAAAATGTCAACCTCAATTTTGACATATTTGTAATCTTCATTAAAAATCCTTTAAAATGAGTACAAACACGACATATTTATCTTCAATATTAATGAAGTTATGGTCAACTTCCGGTTAAGAATGTCAACGTCAATTTTGACATATTTGTAATTGTCGTGAAAAATCCTTTAAAATGAGTCCAAACATGATACGTTTAATTCCAATATTACTCGAGATATAAGCGACTTCCGGTTTGAAATGTCAATGCCAGTCTGATATATTAATAATTTTTATAAAATGTTTTAATATTTGTCATAAAAACAAAAATTAATAAAAGTTATATTAAAAAAAAAAAAATTAAGGTTGGTATTAATATTTAATAATTAAATTGCTATCTTCATTGTTGCTAACTTCGGGTTTAACTTTTTCTAACTTTTTTGTTTTTTTAGATAAGTACGTCATATTTGGATTCATTTTAAAGGTTTTTTAATGAAGATGACAAATATGTCAAAATTGACGTTGACGTTTCAAACCGGAAGTGATTGTATTTCCATTACTATTAACGTTAAATATGTCGAGTTTAGANTGGGCTCATTTTAAAGGTTGTTTAATGAAGATGACAAATATGTCAAAATTGACGTTGACGTTTCAAACCGGAAGTGATTGTATTTCCATTACTATTAACGTTAAATATGTCGAGTTTGGACTCATTTTAAAGGATTTTTTATAAAGTTGACAAATATGTCAAAATTAAAAGTTCAAGAACACTCTTTTATAACAAAAGAAATATTAAGAAACTTGGGAAAAATTCAATAATCATCATCTGCCTTAAAAATCGACGATTTTTTTTTTAATCAATGTGAAATGATCCAAGAAAAACACGTTAAAAATAAAAAGAAAGTGTGGAAAAGTGCTAACACTAGATTAACTTCAGTTATAAAACTTCTATTATATAATAACTAACTTCAGGTTTAAAATGTCAACCTCAATTTTGACATATTTGTAATCTTCATTAAAAATCCTTTGAAATGAGTGCAAACACGACATATTTATCTTTAATATTAATGAAGTTATGGTCAACTTCCGGTTAAAAATGTCAACGTCAATTTTGACATATTTGTAATCGTTGTGAAAAATCCTTTAAAATAAGTAAAAACATGATACTTTAAATTCCTATATTATTCGAGATATAAGCAACTTCCGGTTTGAAATGTCAATGTCATTTTGACATTTATAATTTTTATAAAATGTGTTAATATTTGTCATAAAAACAAAAATATAACAAAAAAAAATTAAAAATTAAGGTTGGTATTAATATCTAAAAACTAAATTGCTATTTTCATTGTTGCTAACTTCGGGTTTAATGTTTTTTATTCTAATTTTTTTGTTTATTGAGATAAATGCGTCATCTTTGGGCTCATTTTAAAGGTTGTTTAATGAAGATGACAAATATGTCAAAATTGACGTTGACGTTTCAAACCGGAAGTGATTGTATTTCCATTAATATTAAAGTTAAATATGTCGAGTTTGGACTCATTTTAAAGGATTTTTTATGAAGTTGACAAATATGTCAAAATTAAAAGTTGAAAGTTCGAACTTTTTGTTTTTTTGAGATAAATGCGTCAAGTTT